TCATCAAGCTAGGCGACACATTCTGGATGTCATTCAAGATCATAACTGTCAAGGCTTCAAGAAAGATCTTATTTCGTATCTCAATTCACAGCTTTCTGATCCACACTCAAGAGGACGACTACGACACATGGATCTACCTTTTAGCCATATAGACATTTATCATGGGTTCAAGTTTTGTCTTGACTCCTTAGGAAACGACAATGATTTTGATCAGGAGGAGACAGATACAGTCAAAGCCAAACCCTCTTTAGGAGGTAAACCTGCACGCTTTGACACTGTGGTTGTGATGGATACTTCAGATTGTGAAACCACTGGTCTTAAAGGTAAGTTTCAAGTTATTAAATATTCTATGCCAGTGAGTAATTTAAACCCTACCTATAGGTACAAGAATTGGTCGCTTGAAGGTCATTTTCAAATTACCTTCACAAGTATATGGCTCCGTTACTCCTGCTTGGACTAAGGATCCACTGGCTTATGTTGAGTGGTATGCACCTTTAAAGCCTGCTGCTGAAGATTATCATGAAATGTATCTTGTCAAAAAATGTCTATCTAACGCAGATGGCTTTACCCCAGGCCAAGTTATATCTCTATCTTCTATTAGACAGACATGCCAACTCATACCAAACTTTGGACGTACAGCTTTACCAATTGAATGGACCTCAGATAGTTAGATAGATGTGATACCTTTTTTCTTAATTGTTTTACTTCCAAATACGCATATCAAACTTTATGGTAAAATTCTTTTAATTATATCACATGAAGTTTTCTATAGTGCTGTATAGAGCCCCACAGCTGCCTATAGTCTATACAACACTATACTAGCTATCACAGACCGTAGCACCTATATAGAACAACAGTTTTTCCTGATGATCTTTCTGTAAGCAAGTTTGCCTTTGTGGGCACTGACTCGGATACTTACTGCTGCTTTTGCTGTTTTCAGTTCTGAGGAGAGGCGCTGGTGTCCTTGCTTTTGTCGCGTCACCTGCATTTATCATAGTGAGTCATTGTAACATGTGAGCTAGTAATCCTGACTTACTTTTACTAACTGGCTTGGCTCGGACCCGTTTTGGAATAGGTGCGATATCGTCAATGGGTGAGCGTTCACGCTTGCGTGTCCGCTTTTTTTGAAGTGCTCCCCACACTGCCTGCTTGTGAGTGTGAATTTGTATGATGACATGGTGCTTACCTGGATTTTCTAGAGCCTGGTCTTTTGCTTTGCGTCGTACTTGAACCAAGTGAGTTTTAAGCATGTTGTCATGAATTTTGCGCTTACACCGTGGATGCACAGGCGTGTCCATCGAAGGCGAGACGAGGTTGGAAGGAGTGAAAAATAAGAAGGAATGAATGTGAGAGTGCGTTTCTGCTACGGAAAGACCGCTTCAAAAGGTGAGTGAGTGTTTTTTTTTCGTTTGAGTCAGCCACTCAATTTGAAACAGTCTGCCTATTATACCATAACGCTGAGCGCTGAGCCAGGGTTGACCTTTCCCTGTCTGGCTTAGTCCGCTATTTGGTGAGTTTTTGTCGAAAAACTTAAACACAGCCTTACAAAGTGCTAGTGCGCACACTCGTTTTCTCCTTGGTAACGTTCCTGTCATCGGGAACATTCTTATTGGTGGCCAGATAATCGGATGAAAGGCGTTTCCTCCATTTACCGACTACCAAGAAGCATTCTCTTCCCCACTACCACCCTCTATGTTCAGTACATTCAAGTACTATGGTGCTCCCTTCATTTACGAACTATCGAGACGCTTTCCCCATCACCGCCCTCTATGTTTAGCACGTTCTACTACTTTTCCTCCAGGCTGATAATGTGTCCGTCGGCTGGGCACAGCATTCCTCCATTACGAACTATCGTGCTTTACTCCCCATTACCACCCTCTTTGTTTAGCATGTTTCATTTACTTTTCCCCCTGGTCCCGTCACCCAGGCTAATCGGATGCAGGTCATTTTGTCCATTTATCATGAAGCAGCCTCCATTGCCACCCTCTGTCTGACTTGGACGTGTTCAACTACTGCGCTTCAACTACTGCGCTTCAACTACTGCGCCTGGCGAAAGTCATTTACCTGCGCTGGCATGCTCGGACATGTTCAACTACTGCGCTTGGCGAAAAGTCATTTACCTGTGCTGGCATGCTCCGGACATAATTAATGAGTTGCTTCCATTGCTGCAAGGTTTGGATTTGCCAATACTGCGCATATGGCATCCTGTCATCACTTACCCAATTTTTTTTACTTCGGTAGAGCCTCGCCTTTGACATGCTGGTGACACCACCTCTCTTTTCTGGCCGTCAGAATTGCGATTCACTTGTACTGTTGGGAGACGCATTGTGAGTGATTTTCAGACACCCAGTGTTCAATTTTTTTCATAAAATTAATACTAGAGCATGCCTCAAATAACATGTCCCGCGTGTGATAAACAACTCGCGTCAATCACAGGTTATAGCCAGCATCTCGCAAAGACCACCAATCCTGACTGTCACGCCCTATACCTTTCCTCGCGGCAATTTGCTCCAGACCCACCAAACGAAGGAGATATAGATGCTCCTGATCCAGATCATGCCATGTTCGAAGGTGATTTTTTTGGAACATACGCTGAGGACGAGCTCGCATGGCCAGGCTCAGATGACGAGGAGCATTTGGACGAAGACGACTTAGGGTATGACATTGGCCCTGGGTGATCACGATGAATGGGAACCTCCTGCCGCAGTACCAGTGCCTCCGAGTCCCGCCACTCCTGCGCATGGTGAACATCATGACATTGATGGTCATGATCATTGGGAACCTCCTGTAGCGCCTGTGCCTGCGCACAATGACGCCTTCCACCCACCTACTGCAGATCAAGGCCAAGATGCTCAGGCATATGGCACAACAGCGACTTCACGAACACTGAACAGGCACCCACAATTGTCCGGTACCCTGATATACGAGCCGGACAACCTGTTGATGTCGTCAAGCAGCCAAGCAATGCAACCTACCATGCACAGCTTGATGACTCGAGCGCAGACAATATTTACGCTCCGTTTGCCTCAAAGCTTGATTGGGATATGGCTCGTTGGGCAAAATTACGAGGTTCAAGCTCAACAGCGTTCTCAGAACTTGTCTCGATCGAGGGTGTAAGTCTGTGCTTCTGTCAAGCGCAAGGATAATCTAATCATGACACCTCCAGCTTAGCGAAAAGCTTGGTCTTTCCTTCAAGAATACGCAAGAGTTGAACCAGATAATCGACAACGAACTCCCGGGCCGTCCAAAATTCAAACGCGAACAGATTGTTGTCGCCAATGAAGCATTTGATGTCTACTTTCGCGATATCATTGAATGTATCAAGGCTCTTTTCAGTGATCCAAATTTTGCTGACTTTCTCGTCTTCGCTCCTGAACGTCACTATGCCGACAAAGACGAAACGATTCGTTTATATCATGAGATGCATACCGGAAAATGGTGGTGGAATAGTCAGGTTCGTATTATCTATCTTTTGTGACCTTCGACGTACAAATTCTAACACTGTGTTCTCTAGAAACACCTAGACCGTGAGCGCCCAGGTGCTACAATAATTCCGGTCATTATCTCATCAGACAAGACTCAAGTAACGATGTTTCGCAACAAGTCAGCATACCCCGTCTACATGACGATTGGAAATATCCCAAAGGACATTCGTCGGAAACCATCACGCCACGCACATGTCCTCCTTGCATATCTTCCAACTACTCGCCTTGATCATGTCACCAACAAAGCCGCTCGCCGACGGATGCTCGCCAATTTGTATCATGCTTGTGTGGGCCGCGTACTTGCTCCGCTCGCAGCTGCTGGCATCAATGGCATCAACATGCAACGTGGTGATGGAACAGTGCATCGAGGCCATCCCTTGTTCGCATGTTTCGCGGGAGACTATCCAGAGCAAGTTTTAGCTACTGGAATCAAGACAACTCAGTGTCCGAAGTGTGACATTCCCCCTGACAAGCTTGGTTTAGCAACTGGTATTGCAAACTGGCAACCACGAGACCTGGGCGCGGTACTTGATGCACTTTGTGCTCTCGATGAAGGCGGATTGGCCTTCGTTCGGGCATGTGCAAACGCTGGCATTAAGCCAATTGTCCACCCATTCTGGGAGGGACTCCCCTTCGTCAATATATTCGAATCTGTAACTCCTGATGTTCTGCATCAACTATACCAAGGGCTCATAAAGCACCTCCTCGCCTGGCTTTCTGACGCATGTGGCAGTGCGGAGATAGATGCACGATGTCGACGCCTTCCCCCAAATCACCATATCCGAATATTTACAAAGGGTATCACTACTCTTTCGCGCGTGAGCGGTACAGAACACAATCAAATTTGCCGTTTCTTGCTCGGCATCATCATCGACACCAGTCTACCTCATAACATGTCCTCCGCTCGACTCCTCCGTGCCGTTCGTGGTCTGCTAGACTTTTTATACCTCACTCAGTACCCATCTCACACCTCCGAGACACTGGTCTTACTCAATGAGGCACTCGACCTTTTCCACGACAACAAGGACATCTTTATCGACCTCGGCATTCGGAATTCGTTCAATTTGCCAAAGCTCCACTTCACAGCTCACTACGCTCATATGATTCGAATGTTCGGCACTACGGACAACTACAATACTGAATACACTGAACGTCTTCACATTGATCTCGCAAAAGATGCTTATCGTTCTATGAATCACAAGAACGAGTTTGCTCAGATGACGACTTGGCTTGAACGGAGGGAGAAAGTTTTTCGTCACGAAAAATACATTCAGTGGAGACTTATTGGTAACACTGCACGTCCACATCAGCCACGTCCCCCCGAAATGACATTTCGTCGTACTCAAACGATGACAAAACATCCTACAGTCAAGGCAGTCACCACGGACAAGGTTGTGAATGAATATGGCGCCACGCACTTTAACGAATCTCTCGCACGTTATGTTGCCAAAGTCACACTTCCTGCCAACACTACCGTTACAGCCAGGCAGCTCGAAGATCGAGCAGCCGATATCCACATCCCATTTCGAACACTACCAGTCTTTCACAAGGTGAAATGGCTCTCGGCTGATGTTCGTGGTCATGACGATTCTCCGGTCACTGTTGATAGTGTCCATGCATGTCCTGGACGGTCAGGAACATTTGCGTCCGACAGTGTCGCACCACGATTTGATACTGTGTTTGTTAATGATGGTACAGGTGGTTCACTCGGCACCAAAGGTAAGTGTTCTGAATCGTTCTATTGACTGGTACTCAGTAGCTAGTACTATTCAACAGGATATCGAATTGCGCAAGTCCGTGTTATATTTTCGATCCCTCCCAAAGCCGTCCCGAAACTTTTCCCATCTACATTCCAGCCCCCTCAACATCTCGCATATGTTGAATGGTTCTCTCCCTTCCGCGTACCTAACCGAGATCATGGCTTGCACAAGGTTTCAGCGCATCATCAAAAACGGAGAACGTATGGCCAGCATTATACCAATCAGCAACATTCGTTGTAGTGCGCATTTGATTCCGCATTTCGGACCTGTGGCTCCTCGTGAATGGACCTCTTCTAACATTCTTGACGAGTGTTCATCATTATATGTAAATACATACATAGATCGATATAGTTTTGTTACACTGCGCTAGGTTGCCAATGATTATCGTTAGCCTGCACTGCGCTATCGCTCTTAGAGCCAGCTACTACAAATTTTGACAGCTGTCAAAAAAGTCTCTAATCTATCTAAGTTTACATGGGAGGGTTTTCCTGATGTGTATGCTGTGAAGTGAACACGAGGATAATGCGTGGAGAACGTACTAGCTCAGACGTGCAGTGCACTCTTGACTTATACGCCCATTGTGTCTTGGTGTCAAGACGTCGAGACCTGTTAAGAAACATCGTCGTAAGTGATGCTTTGGACTTTCTTGGATGAAAGCTGTGACAGAACTGCGCCAAATAGTTATTACGTCTTCATCCACTGTTGTGCCGCAAAAGACACCGAGGATACTAAAGCCCAGCCAAAAATTTGAAGGGCACACCGATTGGATCCCCAGCATCATACATCTGCTAGGCGGACAACGGATGATGACTTGTTCGTTGGACGGCTCGCTGCGGGTATAGAACTTGGAGAGTGGGAAACAGATAGGAGACGACTTGCGGGACGGAGATAGTAAAGTACGGACGATAGCGTCGTCTCCGGACGGGAAGAAAGTGGTTAGCGGATGTGAGGATGGTAGAATGAGGATGTGGGATATTGACACAGGTAAAGTTATCTCGAAATGGACGGGACACACAGAAACAGTGAGGTCTGTCTGCTGGAGTCGAGATGGCCGGCGAGTGGTGAGCGGATCCTTCGATGGGACTGCAAGGGAGTGGAACGTGGAGAAGGGAGAGACAATCCTTGGTCCAATCGAAACTGGGTACGAACACGTGTACGCAGTCATCTACTCGCCGGACATGACCATGTTCGCGACTAGTGGATTTGGCAACACTCATATTCCTGGATCGAACGAGTCTTTGATCAAAATCTGGGATGGGAAGACAGGCGGGCTTGTCGCCACTCTCAAAGGACACACATGTTGGGTGTTGTGCCTGGCTTGGACCCCAGATGGAAAAACACTTATCTCCGGGTCAAGCGATCGAGCGATTAGGACATGGAATACTTCAAACTGGAAGCAGATCGCTGTGCTCGATGGGCACACCGGTGATGTCTATGACATTGCAATATCTCCGAATGGCCGCATCCTCGCAAGCGCATCCTTTGACCAGACAGCACAATTATGGAATCTTGACAACAACCAGCCCATCAGTCCACCCCTTCACCATAGTACGCGTTTCGTGAACAGCGTGTCCTTTTCGGCAGACGGAAAGCTACTAGCCACTAGTTGTGACAAGAACGCGTATACATGGAATGTCTCTGCTATATTAAAAGAAGCTGGCCTCGACGACCTTCTTTTGGACAAGCGCGACAAGTCGCTACTCGCTGTACGTGACACTTTCATCAACAGTACTTCTCGCAGCTGATGCATTCTGCATAGGATGATGCTACACGGCGTCCTGTTCGGCAGCCAATCAAGATCTCCCCTCGGGTACTCCGTGGCTTTGTCGCCGACACACCAAATCGTGCTCACGTACGTCGTTAATCATGTTTTATCCAATCTTGTTTTCATCACAATGCTCTCAGTTGTCTGGCCCCCGCTCTCTATCATCACCATCGCATAGAAGCACTCTTCGTAACCGTTTTTTATCTTTATTCCGCCCCATACACTCCGATGCACACGACACGCCATCCCGACCTCGCCCTTTCCATTGGGTTCGAAATCGTCTCTTTGCCAGACCAAGCAACGCAGACATCGAGCTACACGAGCGTCCCTCAGCAGCAGCTGACGTCCCGTATGCCAAGGGGAAACGTGTATGTCACTTAGCCTTCTCGAATGTAATTTCTCCTGATATCATTTCTTCCTTCAAACTCTATCTCACATCACGTAGAGAAATGCTTCAGCAAGAGAGAGACGGAGGCCGATCCTGAAGCCAAGCCGGACAAATGCAACTGCAGGAAGCTCACGCCCTCCCAATAGCACTGTCACGCAGCAATCCAGCGGCACGGCTCAAGCCCAATCATCTTCGCAATCGCATGCTGCCGTCTCTACCGTGCCTCCTGTCGTCGGCAATACAACTTCGAGCACTACTCCTCACGTAACGATAAAATACCCTGCACGTTGGACTCGCTTCTGGCTCTTTATCTGTTGTGCGTCTCCTGAGTATACCGATGGTCATCCTTAATCTACCAGTCATTTACGACGATCTCTCCCGTCATTTAACATTCTACGATACAGTTATCTCACCCCTCGAGCACATACCTAACGTCGTTTATTGCATACTTTGTGCAAAATACCGGGCGCTAGCGCTCAGAACAGCTCAAGTGCAGCACGCACGTTTCGTCCTTACATATGGTAGATAGTTGTCCCTACATAAACAGCTTGTCCATGTCTACTCTATAGGTAGCAGATATATATATTTCGTGTTTGTAAAAATGGAAGACACTGCATAGTCCTATGCGCACACTATCAAGTTGAGCTACATACTAGTAATAGCAACACCTCCACCGAGTCGCCCAATGCCTCCAAATGCATATCGTGATGAGCATGGTGGAAGCATATATCCACGTCAGCGAGCGCGAGACCAAGCAGGATGCAATCGTAGAAGATCCTGAAATTGGCGGAGATAAGTCACACGACGTTGACCAATGCTGGAAGTGTACGTACTACGACCTACTTAAAGGTTCACTGCTCAAGAACGAGGGCCATACTCCGAGTCAGAAAGGGAAAATCATACGATTGCGCCACTCCCCGACCGTGACTCCAAATTCAGGGAACGGGAAATAACTGCGCGTCTAGTAGGAATTGTAGACAATGACCCTCCTCGAGGCCAGTGCCTTCTGTGTCAAACTCCAGGTGGAAGACGTTCCGGTCGTGATCCAAAGGAGTACTAGTCGAAGGGCGGCGAATCACCAGATAGGTAAGTTATGATCAGGCACCTCTGGTCGCAGAGAAGAATCAAAGTACTCTTCAAGTTCTTCCGAGGGACTTTGTTTGAGGCAGTACATCCGAGGCTCGGGTCACCATGCCTTGATTTGTTCCAAGCCAGCCAATGGCTACAAATTATGAGGGCCATCTAACAGTATGACTTCTTCGGTCAATACAGCTCGATCACATATGGCGGTTTCGTGAGCTGCTGCCTGCAAGCAGGTCGTCGACGTGGGTAGGAGGTGGGAATCTCTTTTGGACATTTCCGTAGATGATGTGAGGATCATGTCAGATCCATGCACAAGAAATGATATCGTCCGTCACGAAGATGGTTTGGATATTCTCGTTGTAGAGCTCAGCTGAGTACCATGAGACGTCCGTGGAGGACAAAACAGAAGTCATTGGTGCGCACAAACAACCTCCGATCAGAAGATCACGCTGATTGCCCGATAAGGAAACTATTCAACGGCACCCACGGGAATTCCATATGCGATAATCTATGCACGCACCATGGCCTCAAATTCAAGATCATTCGTATTAGCTTCCCGAGCATCTAAACTCGCACAGATCCAAACGAACATCGTCAGAGATGGCCTCGAGGCTGCATTTCCAGCCCTTTCATTCGGCACGTCATTTATGTCGACCGAGGGCGACAAGAACCAATCACAAGCGCTATATCTACTCGGAGGAAAGGCGCTATGGACAAAAGAACTCGAGGTTGCGTTGAAAGAGAATGTAGTTGATATGCTGGTTCATAGTTTGAAGGACGTGCCCACGACCCTACCGCACGGCTGCGAACTCGGGGCGATATTGGAGAGAGAGAATCCTGTTGATAGTCTGGTGGTGAAGCAGGGCTTGCCTTACAAGACTTTGGAAGATCTGCCGGAAGGGAGTGTCGTGGGTACGAGCAGCGTTCGGAGAGTCGCGCAGTTGCGGAGGTCTTTCCCTGGCTTGGTATTTCTGGACGTCGTACGTTTTCGCAGCCCATAAACACACCGCATACACTAACATGTTTGCAGCGAGGGAATTTGTAAGGCCATATTTCTATTTTCAAGCTAAGCTTAATATCAACCCCAGAAACACCCGTCTTGCGAAGCTCGACGCTCCCGATGGTCCTTATACGGCGCTTATACTGGCCAAAGCCGGTCTCGTACGGCTAGGCATGGGGGATCGCGTCACGACAGACGTCACCGCACCAATCCTATTCCACGCTGTCTCTCAAGGCGCTTTGGGAGTCGAGATCCGCGCAGACGATCAGGAAGCACGGGAATTGTGCAAAATGCTAACCCACCAGGAAACACAGTGGAAGTGCCTCGCGGAGAGGGCATTACTGAGAGAACTCGAAGGTGGATGTAGCGTTCCTGTTGGCGTCTCTACGTCGCTATCGCAGATTGATAAAAGCGCTGGGGAACTGACGCGTGCCACACTCACGATAACGGGTTGCGTCACATCGCTTGATGGTTCCTTGCACGTCCAAGATACCCTTTCGCAGGAAGTTGAGAGCATACAGGGCGCGGAGGAGCTGGGTAGAAACCTTGCGATAAAATTGAAGTCAAACGGTGCCAAGGCAATATTGGACGACATCACCCAAGATAGACGGAAGAGGGCTCGTGAAGCAGAGACAGCAGAATAGGCAGGGCTAGTTGTGGTATACTGGCAAATATTCATTGGGGAAGCGAAGTATGCGGGAAGGGTAGGGTTAGGGCTTGTATATATGGACACAATGTACTAGTACGGAAATGTAATCAAAATGTACCGGTCAACGTACGAAATTGCATAACCAAACCAGAGTACAGATTTGAAGGTAGTACAGACTCTTCTTAGGCTATAGAGGACTTATTCCCCGATCGGTTTTGTGTATGATTAGTGAGAGAATCACATCTGGTTAGAATGTCTAAAATGGTGAAATCCCGTCTGTTTAGAGTATGATTACATGCTTTTATGGATCTGCCATACATCCAGATTCTCCTTCTCGCTCTTCTCCTCCCCTCCCATAGTGATGTATGGTGTGCCCCAGAACACGCAGAGAAGGCCCAGCAATCCTAACAGCCAGTTAGGTCAAGAAACTCAAAGGCAGTAGCAGCGACACGAACCGTTTATAGCGAAACACCCTCGCTCGCACCCCAGCTTGATCAAAGGGGTCCAGCACCCGATTAGCAGCCTTTTGCAATGCCAGACAGCAACACGAACCATCTGCGTGACCGTAGTTATCGCATCTCATACAGGAAAATGTCGGGTTGTCGTGGATGCAGTCGAGGGTAGCAGACTACACATGGAGAGCTGGGAGTGATCGTAAGATCTATTAAATATTTTCGAAGACATCAGACGTTTGACTTACCGAGTTATAGAGCAGCTTCTGTATCAAGAGCGATTTAACGTCGTCGCCACGCCAGCGTTAAACCAAGTGTGTGGAGATATACAAAACCCAACACACTTATATCACACGGCATGGAACAGGCGCATATATGCATATGCAAAGTGAAGGTGATGGTAAAGGGGAGTCATGCGGGCGAAAGAAGGGAGGAAGGAGGGCTTGGGATGAAGTTGAGTTTGCATCTGACGGGCTTAGAAAAAAAGGTGCAAGACATACTTTTGGCGCTACTTAAGGAGCCTGGAGAAATAACACACTGGTAAAAAAAACGGACGTGGTTTTGAGTGATGAAAGAGGCTGTCTTGCAAAGCAAAGGTGGTCTGGTTAGTTGTGATGACAGTCCTCTGAATAGGGTCTGAAATTTAGGGCTGCTGCTACAAATCCGTACCTCTGTTTTAGATGGACTCAAATATCCCGAAAATTCTGCAAGTCGTGTTTGTGTCCATAGCTAGTACATTTCACATCGGGATCGCCAACCAATTCATTTCCGCTGTGATTGCAAGTTGATATTTCATGTACAAAATCATATCATATGTACAAAATGTACTTGTCGACAATCCAAATACGCATCGAAGTGTCTCTTGCAGTTCAAGTACGCAAGATCATGAGAACGATGAACCAGCAATCCTGAAGAGCAAGAAGAATCATCTACCTTCCCGCGAGCGCCTGCAAATCCCTGGACAATTTCGAGCAGCAGGTGACTCTAAAGCAGGAAGGAGTCAAAGACATTGAAGAGCAAAAAAAATCGCAGAGCGTTCTTATGGGAGGCGTTTATTTGCTTCTGTTTACATCATTCCCGATCTAGACTACCGTTTAATTCTCAGTTAACCGGTCGAGGACACATATCCGAGGCTTGGATTCGAACTGGCATGGCCTCGATCTCGTCTCGCCGTTTGCGCAAAGAACTCAGTGAAATACAGACAGAAGGATGTCCAACAGGTACGTCCTCTCACGTGCTATACGTACAGCTGACCGACCCACCGTTGATTACAGGCATCACACTACTCAGCGCTGACAACTTTGAGACGTGGTACTTCTCCATAGAAATTCTGGGGGAAAGTTTATACCAGGTCTGATAGGGATTCACTTTTGTCACTTATGAGCCCTTACAAAAATATGGCCAGGGGGAGGTATTCAAGCTCATGTTTCGCTTTGACCCAAGCTACCCTATCTCGGCGCCTGCTGTCCAGTTCGTCGTCAACCAGGAGTCAACGGCACCTGTGCATCCGGTGCGTATATATATAGCTGGAGTTTGCCGTGATAACTGACCCTTGATCAGCATGTATACTCCAATGGACATGTGAGTTCCATACATGCCGAACTCGGCGCGCTGTGATACGTCTGATGCGTCGTAGATTTGTGCTTCTATCCTTGGAACCGAATGGTCACCAGTTCTGAGTGTTTCTGCTGTGTGTGTAACCCTGCAGAGTATGCTTGCATCGTGTAAAGTGAGTTTCTCCTCGGTATCCGCGATACAGCCGCTCTAGAAACAAAAACATTATATGTTACAGTCGAAGGAACGGTGAGCTTCCATCACATCTGATGATCTTTCACTTATAACGTGAACTCTGAAGTCCTGTAGATAACGACAGGTACGTACGGTACGCACCCGAAAATCCAAAGAAGGTATGCTTCGGCGCCCTGTCATCTAAGAACCTCTGAACTTTTTTGACATGTAGACTCGTTTCCACTACGATGGTAAGTGACTGGTACACTGCATATGTCCATCGGCTCACGGCATCTATCCTGCGTGTCTACTTCGTCGCACGAGTAGATGATACGTATGTTTTCATTCTCAGTCATTCGTGTTCAATCATACTGATATTTGACTTGATGATTAGGGTGTAGTAGTAGTGTTAGTTGTTGTTGGATGTATCTTGGGCCTAAAGGCAGATGTTGTACCACCAAAGGGATCGTCGAGGCAACGCAAGGAGTCATATTCCAGTTCTTTGGGTCTATTCATGGGATTTTCGCTATGAAGTTATGGAGCTTAGACCTCACAGATGACGCTTGTAGACTCCATGATTGCATGCTTGATTTCCACGAGTCCTGCTAAGTCCTGCCCGACTTTGATCCGTCTGCTTATCTACGGCGCGCGTGGACTATAGAGGTCTGTTTATACCCACGAGGTGCAGATCTATTGGTGAGAAAGACAGCTTGGTAACCCGTGCTGGACAGATTTGGAGACAAGTGGATGCCCACATGCAGTTGCTCACCTCGATGGAAGTTTATACAGGCTTATCAATCCTTCACGAAGGGAAACCCCGGCATAATATTAACGTGTACCAGTGATATCAGAATGCTTGCCATTGGATCACAGGTATAAAGCACCTCAGTGTCCGAAAAGTAAAATGTATTATACGTGCTGCTCCATGAATTACCGGTCAACCACCCTCAGCTCATCAGTCAACGTTAGGAACATATGGCTCTACCAGCATCTTGCTAAACTCCTTCAACTTCTCTGGACCACGAACTTCTTCCGTCAGTAATGGTAGCTGAACGATGTGGAAGAACTCGTCGTAGAGTTCATGGGCCTCGGCAAGATACTTTTGTTGCATCTTTCTTCGTACTTGGCAATGCTCGCAGTTAGATGCTAGATTAAAATTAGAATAGCATTACGTGGAGCAGTAGCGAGTACTTGCATGTCTTAGGGAAGAGCAGCTGGTTGACGACGATGTTATGCGTGTCGATCTCGTAAGCCGTCAGTTCCTGAACGAGACGCTCCGTCTCGTACAGGGACAGGAACTCGGAGATGCAAACACAAACGAAAGTGGTCTTTTCCTGAAAATAATATGAGATGAGATAGTTCCGGTGTGTTCAATGATGAGGCGTACAGGGTCCTTGAATTGTGTGTTGACTTCGTTAATCACAGCGCGCATAGACTCTAGCTTTGCAAACATATCCTCCTGAGAATCCTGCTGACCGCCCATCATACTTGACATTTGTCTGATCATGGGTCCAAATTGACCACTGAGCGTGCTGAGTTTGCCCAGGGCCTTCTCCAGTACAGTGGGAAACGAAAGGAAACGCAGGGTATGACCTGTCGGTGCGGTATCAAACACGATGACTGAATATTCCATCGACTTGACGTGTCTGTGAAGACATTGTTTCGTCAATCCACGGAAGTCAGAAGTTAGATGACGAACTTCATGATCTCGGCAAAACTCATTGCCTCGTCAACACCAGGAATAGCGAATGCAAGATCTTGCATCATCGAGCCCATCATGCCATTTGAGTCGGCTGGGGTTGCAAAGTGTCAGCATGACAAGAGTAGGGTTGTGGGATGTTAACGCATACATTGCTCGACCATCTCCTGGATTGCACTTGTAGGATCGATTTCCATAGCGGACAGGTTATCGAATCCGTTGACCTTTGTCGCGTCTTTGGAGAACTTCTGTCCGAAAGCATCCGACAGATTATGTGCTGGGTCGGTGGACTAAAGCTGAGGGTGGACATCGGCCTCTGAGACCGTAGATGTGACCACGTACGATGAGTAGCACCGATTCTCGGCACTGTGCGAGTTGGATGGCTAGCGAACACGAGGTGGTTGTTTTCCCTGTACGTATGGATCAGGTTTTTAATAGTTCAGGCTCAAGGGGCCACGTACCGACACCACCCTTACCACCTGCATCGCATCCGAGTCAATGCCAGGGTGAGCTGGGCAAGCAGCTGGATAGTGAAGCACATACCGCAGAATATCCATTTCAAGGACTTTTGATCCAGAACATTTTGCAGAGTTGACGGTAATGTTTCTTCTGCCATTTGAGATGTTCGAAAGTTGTAAAGAAGATGAAGCTTGCGCGTCTTCAAGTACTGCGAAACCGTGATCAAGCCGCGTTTGGACGAGCGGCCTCTTTCAGCTTCCACATCCTACTGCGACATTCTACACATCAATAGAATAAAATTGTAGAGTACGTGTCCAGCTTTCATTCTGGTCACCATGTCAGAAAACAAATTATCATTCAGAGGTTAGTTACTCAAGGCTTATCGGTGTGAGACAGGCTTATATCCCCCAACAGCTTTACAACTAGCCAACGAACAACGGACTGCTTATGGTCTCCGGTACAATGATTTCACGCGATACAGGAAGCACTGCGCCAATAGGACCCATCGTCTCCGGTCCTCTCTCAAAATGACCCATGGCAAGGGCCGAGAATTCAAGAAACTGCCTCCCTTGAGCACAGATATCATCAAGGATGGACAGTGCGTGCCACATCACATTTCACATATCAAGAATTAATGAATCTCGGATAGCTTGGAGCTTCTACTCTTCGAGTCAGAACGTGCCTGGGCTTACTCCCAAGATCTCGTTACCCAATCTCTTCAGCCAGCCAATGAAGATCAAGCTGGAACCCTGCGGCATAGTGCTACAGGACGCTTCCGTCGTGCAGTACACTGGTCGACGCAACTTCTATCGCACTGTCAATCTTTATATGCATCTTCACGCCTTTCTGCAGAAGGGCTCATGCAAATCACCATCTACACTCTGATCCTCAACGGGCGCTTCCTGCGATACCGGGACAACTTTGAGGATGCAGTGATCCAGCTTAGCGTTGCAAGGCACCTTCTCGACGAACTCGCTGATCGCGCTATTACAAGCAGAGACCAGGCTCTCGCAACGGTGTTTGCAGATGAAATCGGCCCCGAAATCAGGTATTGCGCACATGAGCTTGGAAGGGAGAGAGCGTATGATGTAGATGCGATCGCTGCTGAGTTGTCGGAGAAGCATCGAGGGGAGATCGTCGAGGGATGTGATACTCTAATTCAGAAATTTAGGCAGGAGGGAGAGGTGACTGGGAAAGGTGAGGGGAGGAAAAAGTTGACGACTTTGATGTGGGAAGGTCAGCCTGTGCCGGTGCGCAATCCAGAGTTGGTGGATGTATTGCTGCGGGTGCAGGAGGCAGAGGCGAAGATTACGCAATCGCGTGAGCCTGCTCGAGCAGAGGGTGCTAGCGATAAGGGGAGGAAAGGCAAGCCAGGTGGTCATGGGTCCAAGAAGGGCGTTGCCGCATATGATGCTATTCTCCTCGCTCTCAGCGATGCTGAAGAGCTGGCCAGGAAACTGGTTGAAGCGCAACAGGTGTGCCGTCACCTTCATCGATTTGTATTTATCACTCATCAACTCGACAGAATTCTGGAAGTTCATCTACTTCTGCAGCCGGCACGCGTGATATCCACTTTGTTTACGCTTACATTGTCTACCAATTGCTCTCTCGCCGGATCCAGCGTGATCTCCTCCTAGTCTCCACTCTTCTCACCTCGCATCGACCACAGGCCTCTGCAAAACCAAAGAAAGAGCATGTCGACGCCCGACTTTATCCTGCAGTGGTCAAGCTCCTGGACACTGTCATCCAAAGTCTTGCCCAGATGCGCAATTTGAGCATCGTGGACGAGAGCCCTGACCTAGCGTCTGCTGTCGAGGCCCGTCTTACATTCACCAAAGCCCGCAGGTAAAGATCAACTTCTTCTGCATTAATCTCATGTGCTGACAGTGTTTCAAGATGTTCTTATCTCGCACAGTGCTATGTAGCCGTGAAAAAATACGCCGAAGCTCTCTCATTGATCCAACACGCAACCATATATCTCCGTGAAACGCGTTCTACGTTGTCCATCTTCTCAGAAGACCCTATCTCTTCCGGATCACCTGCCTACTATCCACTGACGTCTTCCGATCTCGATGCTCTAGAATCCACCATCACTCAAGACGGCCTGACGATCAAAAACGAATGGTTTGCATACAACGGCGGCTCCATCGACGCGGACAACAAGACATACAAGAAACCATTGTTTTTCGATATCGCGTTAAACTATGTGCAGCTGGATATGGACAGATTGCAGGAGAGAGCTGGGAAGGCATCTGCACCGGCACTTGTTCCTGCGCAAGCCGTGCCTGCGAAATCACGGTTGGAGGAGGTGGCGAGACCTAAAACACCAGAACCACAGGCGCCTGCAAGGGGTGGACTTAGTAGTTTGCTCGAGGGGTGGTGGGGACGGAAGTGAGGTACGACAAATTAAATTTTTATCAAGGCATTTAGGCGAATAGTCAAGTACGGTAAAAAAAACACAATGCAAGTGGGTAGCATATAGTCCGACAGTTAAATCAAAAAAGAAGCTCCACAATCATTGGGTAATGAACTAAGATGCAGAGGGTTCATCAGGTGACGTTCATTAACTGTCAGAGACAACTTACTGCTTCAGATGCAGACTCGGAAAACTCAGAATGACCCCCCAGTTTCTTTGCCTCGGGCTCACTGATGAGACTGAGACTGCGGCCAAGCTTTTGCACCTCTTGCCAGAATTCGGGGTTTCCGGCCTCCTTGTGACACGATTCCTTCAGGTCCCTCAGGAAACTGGTAACAATAAGCATTTGAGCGCCTAGACGATTCAAATACTTACGCATTCCAAGCATCAATCTCATCCTCTTTCAAAGACGTATCCCGCATAGCGACCATACACTCAATCATCTCCTTATGCCGCCTCGACGCGAACGGCCTCACCACCACCTCTTTGATGATGACGCCCATGTCTTCCACAGCCTTTGTCACCACGTCCCCTTGTGCAAGGTTGGTCTTGAAATCACGCAAGGGGTACGTCGAGCCGATGATACGACCCGGTGCACGGCCAGGGTCCACATCAGGTGACATCGAGCGTTCTGGGGTGGGCAGCGCGTTAAAGGGCCGCTTGCTGAGCAAGAGTGGCTCCCGGTCTGATTCTTCTTCCGTCTCAGAATCTGAAGCGGCGGATTTCTTGGCTGGGCGTGCGAGTTTGGGGGAGAGGGGTACTTGGGACGCGGCGGGTTCTTTGCCTTTGCGCGACGCGGCTGGTTTTTTGTCGAGGAGGAGCATGTCTTCGTCTTCGTCCATGGCGCGGACGTGGCCATCTTTACGGACTTTGGTGGCTTTCTTGGGTACTGGATGAATGAGATAAGTAGTATGAGTATTGAGAGAATTATGAAAAGCAAGGTAATGGAGCGCGTACCTTCTTTGACTTTGAACACTGCTTTGCATTCTGCGATTGCGCCTTTGCTAGCTTTGAGGGCCCACTGGGGAGGGTTGATGTATCTGAGGAGTTCGGGATGGGGTGGCGGAAGGGGGTTGCTGGTAATGTCATTCACGACTGCGCTGTGGAAGAGCGCCTGTTTCGTGCGATGGATAGCGGGGTTGTACGACTGTTGGGTGTCGTACCATGGAACTGGTTTCCTGTTTGATAAGTGACTCAGGACAACAAAACAAGCCTTTTGGTGAATCGAAAACGCACCCTTCAGCGTCATTCTCCCCTGAATCCATGATGTCCATGGAGTCGATAAATTTGCCCATGGCTTCGAGTTGATCTTCTGTGGGGAGGTAAGGGTGCTTTGTGATTGATTCGCCGTTTTTTGATACAAGGTTCTCGAGGGAGGCGAAGGTGTATTTCCGGACGTCGTCTGCGAAGGGCATCTATCATACCCAGATTTAGTCCAGGCCGAGGGTAGGGAAGGATGGGGGGAGACGTACTTGCACCCACAGCAGATAATCAATATTTGGATCAACGCGTGCCTCTAAAACGCCCATCTTTGGGTCCATGCCGTCCTTAGAGACCCAGCGCGCGATAGCGAGGACGCCTTTCTCATACATGGCTTGTACGATGGACGAGAGCGCGACCTGCTGCTGTGGTGCACCGGGGTCTGCCCATACGTATTGGACTTCACCCATCGCTAGCTCCCGGCGGAACTGTGTCTGCGTGAGCTACGCACATGGAAACAAAGAGGTGTGCGTACGTTCTTTGCATGGAAAAATCCGCAAATGTCGATGCCCTTTCTTGTATTCAAGCGCCGAAACTGCCCATCAGGGCACGGAGCGTACGTGGAACCGTATTTGAAGCCCCTGATGAGCTGTTCCTTCTCCACCTTTTCGAGGTTCTTGTCCTTGTCTTCCTCATCGTCACTGCCCGTATCCATCTTATCCTGTTCTTCTCCATCCTGGGTTGAGCGATCAATGTAGTACTCGCTACGCATCTTCAGCTGCGCAAACACCGTCTTTTCTTCCTCTTCATCGACTTGCATTTGTTCGTCAGTTTTTTCGCGTCGGCCGAATTTCTTCCAGCTCTTGGGGCGTGCAAGGGCTGTGCATTTGCTGGCTTTGACGAGGATTTCAATGGCCTCCTCCGGTCGCACGTCGACATCGCCGAGGCGGAGAACGGTGCCCATAAGTGCGGATTTGGTTTGTTTCATGTCTGGTCTGGCGATTTCTTGGAGAGCAAAAACACAAGTTCCGACCAGGCCGTCATCAAGGGACGAGGTGAGCTTGTGGTAAAATGCTTCATTTTCGACCTGAAGAAAAGAGATTAGATTTGAAAAGATGAAGAGGACAAAATGTACCTTTATGGTAGACTTGTCCTCCTCGTGGAAAGGGAATTCGTCGTCATCAAAGTCGACACCGCTGTGAAGTACAAATCAGGACACGAACAAAGGATTGAACGAGTGACTTACATAACAGTAAGAGATATAGCAAGGGCATTCATTTTCTTGACAGTCGCCTCCCAGTCCTCGATTTCCATGGGACTCTGGCCATCTGTCACGATGACGATTTTACGCGTCCATGTGCGCTTCTTGTTCAGGTAGATATCTTGTGTTTCGATACCGACGATGAGGGCGTCGATAGCTGCAGAGAATGAGATGTCAGAACTCTAAGAAATTAGTGAGTACACACGATCTCCTGAGTTCTCTGAAGGCTGGAGGGTGACGAGCTTGGCGAGGGTGGTTGAATTGGGATGTGCGATGGGAATGTATTCTGATACGTGTTGGTAACCGCCGTTCTTTTCGTGAATGATGTTGTTCGTCTCTAAACTATAGTCGGAAAAATCGTGAGGCATACACGAAATGGTGACGCACCTTCGGAACCAAATAGGATGACACCGCATTGGTCCGTCTTCCGGCCATTAAAAATCTGTATCGCCATGAGTTGATAAGAGCAAGTGTCTGTTTAGTCAACGTACCATTTCTTGGATCTTGAGTTTTACGAATTGTAATGCCCATTCGAGGTTGGTCATCTCTGTGGTGCGCTGCTCCCCGTTGGGCGTAGGGGGTAATTCTATGGATCTTGTTGCACCCATCGACGGAGAGATGTCGATGAGGAACATTGTCACGGTGTACTGCGGAACATGTTAGAAACAAAATTACAACGAAAAAAAAGAAGCATACTCCTGCACGTTCAGCTGGCATAGTGGTGGTGAAAAGCAACACGTTCAATGAGAAACGCGTCAATTAGGGATGAAGCACGTGACCGTCGTGACTTGCTGACAACAGGCTGCGCAAAACTATTTCCCACGGCGTTCCTTCTTTTGTTTTGACTCTTGAGGAGAGCCGAGAGGCACGTACTTGTAGGCTGGACAAGCCACCCATGGCCATGCAAGGCCAACTCCTGATACAGCCTGGTCACCAACAAAATTCATTCACTAATAATCAACAGATACAGCCTGCAATGAATCAACAGCAGCAGCAGCAGTTATCGCCTGCTCAGCAGCGTCAAGCACATATGCACCGTTATAATATGATTATTCAGGTCAGTCTTAATCTACTACAGAGATTGATATGTCTTTACCGCTTTTCAGCGCATTAAAGAACTCAAGCAATCAGGCGCCACAATGGAGACCTCCCCTGAACTTGCACAGCTTGTCAAGCAAGTCAATGTCTATTCACAAGGAACTCAACAACAAATGAGTCAGTCTCTTGAAATGTTTAAAGGAGGCTAAACTTATGACCTTTAGCTAAACAATCGCACCCAGACCAGCCGCAGTCAAACGGCCACCAACCACAATCATCTCATTCCACTGATGGTCTCATTAATGGCGCTGCTGTCAACGGTCACTCTGCACCACAGTCTGTTCCAGCTCCCCCCATTACCCCCGTATCATTCACTCCAGATCAAATATCTGCTTTACGCGCTCAGATAATGGCCTACAGACTCGTCACCCGCGGTTCCCCCATCCCAGACCACCTGCAGCATGCAATTCGCGTTCCCAACACCGCCGTCCCAGATCTCGAAAACCTTCTGCAGGGCCCAGACGTGCCCTCCCGTATAGTTGACAGCGCTGCTAAAATACAGAAAGGCCAAATTGCCCCGCCCCCACCTACTGAAACACCTGTGCCAGTTGAAGTCATAAAAGAAGAAGAGCATGGTCCTCCCATCGACCCTGCTGATCTTCCCAAAGGTCCTTTCCTCGAAGAAGCAGTAGACTCTGGCGTGTACCCGTATAACGCATTCAAGCTTCCCTTCTCCCACCTCGAGCGCCCACCCAACGTTGACCCAACTATGGTCGCAACGCGCCTTCAGCGCCTCCTCATTCCCTCCATAATGCCTGCAGGCCTCGACGTGCACCAGATCATCAACGAGCGCGATCGCTTCATCGAAGCACGCGTCCAACAGCGCATCAAAGAGCTCGAGGAGATCCCAGCCACCATCGGTGATGGGAACTTTGATTCTCTGGCGGACGTTATCCTCGGCTCGCACAAGCGAGAGCCCGTCAATGACAACTCAGCGCTGTCCCCACACGGGAAGCTACGCGCAATGATCGAGCTCAAGTCCCTCAAGGTGCTCGAGAAGCAACGCGCTATGCGCGCGATTGTTGCGGAGCGCCTGATCCAAGGCACCCTGCTCCCGCTGAACCGCGTGGACTTTAGACGGGCCCGCAAGCCTACACTCAGAGATGCACGCATGACTGAGCAGGCGGAACGCAAGCAACGTATCGACCGCGAGAGGCGTGCAAAACACAAGCACGTCGAACAGCTCGGCATCATCTGCCAACACGGACGAGACATCATCGCTGTGAACCGTTCTGCGCAGGAACGAGTCGCGAAGCTCGGGCGTGCCGTGTTGTCGTTCCATGCGTTCACTGAGAAAGAGGAGCAGAAGCGTATCGAGAGGATATCGAAGGAGCGTTTGAAGGCGCTTAAGGCGGATGATGAGGAGGCGTATATGAAGCTTATTGATACAGCAAAGGATACGCGCATCACCCATTTGCTGCGGCAGACGGACGCCTATCTCGATTCGCTTGCGCAGGCTGTCGTGGCGCAGCAGAATGAGTCTGGCCCCTTGGATACGAACTTTGACCAAGAGGAAGGCCCCGCAAATGAGGCCACGTTTGGCGCCCAGGTCAGTGCTGATGCCCAGGATGATAAGGGCAAGGTGGACTACTACGCTGTTGCACATCGCATTTCGGAGAAGGTCATGAAGCAGCCAGGCATTCTTATCGGCGGTCAGCTCAAGGACTACCAGCTCAAGGGCTTGCAATGGATGGTCAGTCTTTACAACAACAAGCTCAATGGTATCCTTGCAGATGAGATGGTGAGCAGCCACATTTGGGTTCTTTATATCGCATCCTCACACGAGCGTAGGGTCTCGGTAAAACCATCCAGACCATCTCACTGGTTACCTTCCTAATCGAGGTCAAGAGACAACGCGGGCCTTATCTCGTCATCGTGCCTCTATCAACAATGACGAACTGGTCCGGCGAATTCGCAAAGTGGGCGCCGACGGTGAAAATGATCTCGTACAAGGGCAACCCTGCGCAACGTCGCAACCTCCAAGGCGAACTGCGGATGGGCCAGTTCCAGGTTCTGCTCACTACATATGAGTACATCATCAAGGACCGGCCTATCCTCAGCAAACTCAAATGGGTGCATATGATCATCGGTGAGTGGATTTGAGCATTTCGTCGGTGCTTGGTTGTTCATCTTCGGTATTAGACGAGGGACATCGTATGAAGAACACCCAGTCAAAACTTGCGCAGACGCTCACGCAATACTACCATTCTCGCTACCGCCTCATCCTCACCGGTACCCCCCTTCAGAACAACCTTCCCGAACTTTGGGCCCTCCTCAACTTTGTCCTGCCCAAGATCTTCAACTCCGTGAAGTCATTTGACGAGTGGTTCAACACGCCATTCGCGAACTCGGGTACAGGGGACAAGATCGAGTTGAACGAAGAAGAGGCTCTGCTCATCATCCGGCGATTGCATAAGGTGTTGCGGCCGTTCTTGTTGAGAAGGTTGAAAAAAGACGTGGAGAGTGAACTTCCGGACAAGGTGGAGAAAGTGATCAAAGTTCGCATGAGTGCCCTGCAGAGTCAGCTGTATAGGCAGATGAAGAAGCACAAGATGATCGCCAATGGGAAGGATGCAAAGGGGTACGTTTTTTGTTTTCAGCGGAGTGGGCGGGATGTAGTGCTGATCTTTGGTTTGTTAGCAAATCTGGAGGGGTGAAAGGTCTGAGCAATGAGCTCATGCAGCTGCGCAAGATCTGTCAACATCCGTTCTTGTTCGAGAGCGTCGAGGACAAGGTCAATCCCACCGGGCTCATCGACGATAAATTGGTCAGGTCAGCTGGCAAACTCGAGCTTTTGTCGCGCATCCTTCCCAAGTTCTTCTCAACGGGTCACAGGGTGCGTCACTTTCTACGATTGACCGAGTTATACTGATAACTGTTTCTACCAGGTCCTTATTTTCTTCCAAATGACGAAGGTCATGGATATCATGGAAGATTTCTTGAAGATGATGGGCTGGAAGTATCTCCGTCTTGACGGTGGTACGAAGACGGATGAGCGTGCCTTGCATGTACAGCAATTCAATGCGAAGGATTCGGAGATTAAAGTCTTCATCCTCTCAACGCGAGCTGGTGGTTTAGGTCTCAATTTGCAGACTGCAGATACGGTTATAATGTGCGTTATCTCTTGCGGTCGCGTCGTTCTCTATGCTGACGTCTATGTTTGCAGCTTCGATAGTGACTGGTGAATAAGCTTCTGGCTATTGCTTGGACAGACGTGCTGATGATAATATCTCAGGAATCCCCACGCTGATCTTCAGGCTCAAGATCGTGCTCATCGTATCGGCCAGACCAAGGCTGTCCGAATCCTCCGTTTTCATCACAGAAAAGAGTGTCGAAGAAGCCATGTATGCTCGCGCGCGATACAAGCTCGATATCGACGACAAGGTCATCCAAGCCGGTCGGTTCGATAACAAGTCGACGCAGGAAGAGCAGGAAGAATTCTTGGTGGGTACAACAGCTCTCCCAAATAACGGCTAGCTAAATGAATGGTCTGCAGCGGTCCATCCTCGAAGCAGACCAAGAGGAGGAGAACGAAGAAGCTGGTGACATGAATGACGATGAACTTAACGAAATGTTGGCAAGAAATGACGAGGAGGTTGAGATTTTCCGCTCGATGGATCTTCAGCGAGAACGGGATGCGTTGGACGCATGGCGCGCGGTCGGCAACAGGGGGAAACCGCCGTTGCCCCTCATGCAACTTGAAGAGTTGCCTGAGTGCTATCAGACGGACGAACCGTTCGAGCCGAAGGAGATTGATGATGCTATCGAGGGCCGTGGTCAGCGTCGTCGTAATATCGTCAATTATAACGACGGTCTCAGCGATGAGCAGTGGGCGATGGTACGTCTTGTAGGATGTCGCGATGCATGCATGCTGATTGGAATCTTAGGCTGTGGAGGATGGCGAGGATTTGCAGGAACTCGTTGATCGTGCTCGTGGCAAGAAAGAACGACGGGCTGCCAACAAGCTTCTGAAGGACACCGATACACCTGGTCGTAATACTCCAGCGTCAGATGTGGGTGTTGGGCGCAAAGGGAAGAAGGGCAAGGGCAAGATGACTGCCAACGACTACGACACACCTGGTGTGGCTGGCAAGCGGAAACGTGGGATGAAGTCCATGTCTGTGACGCCTTCGGTGATCGATGACGACGACGAAGAGCGTGACATGGTGAGCTGATTTTGAGTTTTCCTTTTGAACGTTTTCTGATGATATCTAGAAACGACGGAAAACGAAGGCGGGTGACATGTCGCCTGCAATAAGGGATAAGATGAAGAAGGCTTTCAACGAGGTTCTCAGAGCGGTTCTTGCTTGTGAAGACAAGGATGGTCGGAAACGCTGCGAACTTTTCCGGGAGCTCCCCGACAGGAGAGTGAGTAGAAGACTTCCTGTCTCATGTTACACCGACATACTAACGATACGATCAGGATTACCCCGATTATTATCAGTTAATCACGCATCCGATCGCCTTGTCCCTACTTCGAAAGCGGGGTAACACTGGACATTACAAGAGTATCACGCACTACAAAGAGGACTGGAAGCTCATGTTCGACAACGCGCGGACGTATAACCAAGAGGGCTCGTGGGTATACATAGATGCTGAGGAGATGGAAAAAGTGTTCCACGACACGTTGGAGAGAGTCACTGCTGGGACGGGACTACCTGGTGCCTCACCAACTCTAGGTGGACCGTCAAGCTCCGCAGCATATGACTCCGCGCTTACGCCTATGGACGAGGATGAGCGGCCGCAGCGGGGCAGGGCTCGGAGTGCTGGTCGCAAACAGGTGATCAGTGATGATGAATACCTGACGCCGAGTGATGATGAGTAGATATTTCTTTATCGCATTCTTGATCTGCGTTTTCGTTTTGTTCTTTCCTCGTTTTTATGACCATCAATTTTGGAGTATATGTATTGGTACACAATATTATTATCAGACACATGTGAGATGAAGCCCGCTCTGAACATGATGTCGAGGATCTCTGAGATTGATGATTTGAAATTTGGATTCTTCGATCAATATGATTACTGTAAGTACAATACTCTTTGCACTCGTCTGGTTGCAGCTTTACCTCAGCGTTGTTCTGTTCAATCACTTGCCGAGACTCTATTCTAGTCTACAGCTCCGAGTCATAAGCGGCTCTAGCTAAGCCCAGATTACTGGTAGACTTACCGAAGATACACCTCATTGAAGAACTGTCACAGATGACGCTCATGTTCATCTGAAAGGACGAACGACACAATTGTCCCAAAATTTTCTCAACAATCTCATTGCGTTCATTTCAATCGTTCTCGATCAGTGCAAATCACCAAGGGCAAATATAGTCTGTGACATACTATCATCGAGCCGACTGGGTCAGAAGACTATCCCAGCTAGCGGTGTGTGGTGACACTCGTGTTGCACAGTGACTCGGAGAGGGGTGCAACAGTACAACCTCAGCTTCAGCCGCATCCGAGGTCATCGATATCCTTGAAGTATTCAACAGCTACAGTGAGAGTTCAAACGTTCATGTATGAAGTACCGGTGCGTTCAACTAGGTTCAACTATTCGTGTGACTTCGAATTTTAGTTATTTAAATAACCTCTGGCGCTAAGGTGGCGGGGGCCATACACAGCAACCTTGTGCCTGGCAGTGCAGTCAAACAACTTGAGACAAGCGCTCGTCCTTTCAACTTGACTGCATTCAACCACCATCTAGCAACTTGGAATAGCACTCCAATTGATTATCCATTCTATCTCAAACATCCTTCTTACGTTTCTATCTCCATTGCTCGATCTTTTTGCTGCCGCCCACTCGAACTGTGAGTACGCTTACTGGGCAGGCTGATACCCAAGAATCGTTTCACGACTTCCTCCGGACTCGAAAAAACGAAGTTTCAGCTTTAGACGTTGATTCTTCAATTAACATCGTCGTACGTCGTCCCCTCTGAGATAGCATGACATCGCCGTTACGATTTCTGATTATACTGTTGAACCCAACTACGTAGTGATTCCCCGACTTGTTTCATTCTAACTCATATTTTGTGTCGCATTCTATCATCAACCTCTGTCAATAAGTAACTGAGATCAATGTAAATATCTCCTTCCCTTATCGACTCGCTCTCTGACCTGACTAGCAGTTCCTGGCGAGCTTCTAGCAATGGCCGAAGGAACTTGGGAGAAACTGTCCCAGGTCGCTGTCCTGGGTGCTAAATATGACTCCCCTGAACGTCAGCCCCATCCGAAATGTTTGGAAGGGACCCGGGTGGACGTTCTCAAACTGATTCGTGGATTACTGAACAAACGAGAGAAGCAAATCATCTGGCTGCATGGCACGGCAGGCGTCGGAAAGTCTGCTGTGGCATTCACTGTAGCTGAGATGATGAAAGGTCTTAAAGTGACAGAAGAGACGAATGTCGAAACAAGGCTCGCGGGGACATTCTTTTTCTCGCGGAAGCATACGAACCGCAGCACGACCGGTCATTTCTTTGCGACCCTTGCTTACCAGCTTGCGACCAATTTCCCAGCGTCCGGACGAACGTGAACAGCGCTATTCGCGATAATCCTGCGGTTCTAAATCCCAGCAACTCTCTTTGCGACCAGATGAAGGCGTTATTTCGCCGACCTCTCTTGCACCTGGAATCCAGGCTGCGCGAGTGTCCGCCTCCGGTGTTTGTTATCGATGCCCTCGACGAATGCAAACCTGAAACCGTCGCCGATCTCATCTCCCTCCTCGGCGAAGCTCTTCGTGATCCTGAGCTTCCCGTGTTCCACATTTTACTCACGAGTCGCCTGGAAGAGCATATCCGTAAAGCCATTCAAAAAGAAAAGATGCGTACACTGGTGTACGAGATACCGGTGAACACTTCTGGGGAGGGCATTGCTGGCACCATTTCGTTAGACGGCGAAGATGTTGACAATGACATCTATATCTTCTTGCAGCATTCCTTCAAAGAGTTGCAAAGTCGCCATCCTGATTTCCCGCAGCCTACTGAGGATAAACTTAAGCGGCTGGCGAACCGAGCTGGCAGACGTTTCATCGTGGCATCTACAATGATGAAGTTTATCGATGACGGACACAGTGACCCCCGGGATGGCCTTGAGCTCATGCTCAAACTAACCAATGAACTGCTACCTGGAACGCAAGTGTACAAGTTATATAACTGTATCCTCGGCACCTGTTCGAACCCCAGCCGGGCGTACCAGCACTTGTCCATTGTTTCTGCCCTTGCAGACCCTCTGCCGATCTCACAGATTTCGAAGCTTCTTGGTCCTCTTCAAGGCAGTGATCTCGCAACCGTACTGGCACAGCTACGGTCTTTTATGGACATTCCCGCCGACAGTAGCCTGCCCGTAAATATCTACCACTCGTCCATTCGTGACTATGTTTCAGACTTCTCAAACTGCAGCCTCCTTGGATTACAATCCATCACAGCACCACATTCCCTGCTCGCTCATTCTTCTTTCCGCTTGATGATCCAAGACATTCCAGAATGCACAGACCTCCTGGTTGAGCTCTCAGCATTGAAGGAGCACAACCAAGCTATGCAAACCTATGACCCGAAGAGCTTGCAACAAACATTAGCCTTCGTCGTTGAGCCACCAGAGCCACTCCATGTTCTTACGGGTCTGTTATGGCTTCGGGGAGCACGTGGTTTGCGGTGCTGGCTAGAGACTTTGAACGGGCGTGCCATGGCTGCAGACCCAAGGTGGGGAAGACTATCTGCGAACCCAGAAAGGAGAAGACTGGTTGGAGACCCGGGGTGGGGAGCATTGGCTACAGACCCATGCGGGGGACACTTGGTTGCAGACTGAGAGAGGGAGAGGTTGGCTGCAGAGCGGGCGAGGGTGGGCGTGGACTGAGAGGCGGCGGCAAGTTGCCGGAGACGCTAGCGAGCAAATGCCATTGGAGACTTTGAATGGGCGAGACTGGCTGGAGACCATCAGCGGGCAAGGCTGGCTGAAAACCTCGAGCGGGCGAGAATGGTTGCAGGCCCAGATTGGGGAATGGCTGCATACCCAGACTGGAGGAGAGTGGTTACAGAATCGACACGGACAAGAGTGGCTTCAGACCTCGACCGGAAAAGTGTGGCTGCAAGAGACCCCGAGTGGCCAAGAATGGCTGCAGACTTGGAGGGGAGGAGAGTGGCTGCAGACCAAGAGTGGCGAAGAATGGCTGCAAGGGACCCCGAGTGGCCGAGAATGGCTGCAGGCCTGGAGGGGAGGAGATTGGCTGCAGACCAAGAGTGGCCGGAAATGGCTGCAGACCAAGAGTGGCCGAGAATGGCTGCAGACCAAGAGTGGCCGAAAATGGCTACAGACCCAGAGTGGCGAAGAATGGCTGCAGACCCCGGGTGGCCGAGAATGGCTGCAGACCGAGATCGGGCGAGAGTGGCGGAACACCGAGAGCGGGCGACAAGGGCCTGTCATCGAGATTGGGAGAGGGGAGCTACCGAACATTGAGCGAGGGTGGCTGGACACCGAAAGCGGGAGAGAGTGGCTGGGCACTGAGAGTGGGCGACAATGGCTCGACACCAAGAGTGGACGAGAGTGGCTGGAGAGAAATGGGCGAGAGTGGCTGAACAACGAGAGCGGGGAACAATGGCTGGACACCAAGAGCGGGCGAGAGTGGCTGGGTGCCTATAGGGGGCGAGAGTGGCTGGACCTTAAGCGTGGGCGACAATGGCTGAACACCAAGAGTGGGCAAGAGTGGCTGGAGATAAATGGGCGAGAGTGGCTGGACAACGAGAGCGGGCGACAATGGCTGGACACCAAAAGTGGGCGAGAGTGGCTGGGGGCTTATAGGGGGCGAGAGTGGCTGGACACCAAGAGTGGGCGAGAGTGGCTGGACACCGAGAGCGGGCAACAATGGCTGGACTACCAATCGTTAGAGGACATGCCGCACACCTGGCTGCGGAATCCAGGTGGGAAGAAATGGCTAGAGACCCCAAACGGGCAGAAATGGCTGCAGACTCAGGAGCGGTTGCGGATTCGGGAGCGGCTGCAGACTCGAAGGCGGTTGCAGACTTGGCGGTGGTGGTTGCAGACTCGATGGTGGTTGCAGCGGATGATGTTTATTCCACAGAGCAGGCCACGGGTGACTATCAATATAAACGATTCGTTGGAAACTCTGAGTGGACAAGACTGGCTGCGTTCCCAGAGCGGGAGGGAGTGGCTGAAGACACAGGGTGGGGAGGAGTGGCTGGTGACGAGGTGTGGGAGGAAGTGGCTGGAAACGCAGGGCGGAAGGGAGTGGTTGAAGACACAGAGCGGGAGGAAGTGGCCGGAAACGTGGGGCGGAAGGGAGTGGCTGAAGACACAGAGCGGGAGGGAGTGGCTGATGACACAGGGTGGGGAGGAGTGGCTGGAGATGCAAGGCGGGAGGAAGTGGCTAGAGATGCAGGGCGGGAGGAAGTGGCTGGAAAAACACAGCGGGAGGGAGTGGCTGAAAACGTCGGGCGGGAGGGAGTGGCTGAATACAAAGAGCAAGCAGGAGTCGCTGGAGATACAGGGTGGAATGAAGTGGCTGGAAACATGGGGCGGGATGGAGTGGCTGGAAACATGGGACGGGATGGAGTGGCTGGAAACACAGAGCGGGATGAAATGGCTGAAAACGTTGGGCGGAAGGGAGTGGCTGGAGACCCAGGGCGGGAGGGAGTGGCTGGAGACCCAGAGCGGGAGGGAGTGGCTAGAAACATGGGGCAGGAGGAAGTGGCTGAAGACACAGGGCAAGAGGGAGTGGCTGGAAACTCAGAGCGGTATGATGTGGCTGGAGACCCACAGTGAACGCGACCGCCTGCAGACCCTAAATGAACTGCAGACTCCGATCGGGAATGCATGGCTGCACACCTTTCACGGGCGAGAGTGGCTGCTGACCCAGAGGGGTCGAGTGTGGTTACTGACCCAGAGCGCGCAAGAGTGGCTCCTGACCCCAGGAGGGCGACAATGGCTCCATACTCTAGGCGGAGAGTGGCTGCGGACCCCAGAAGGGCTGCAGACTGAACGTGGCCAAGAATGGCTACAGACAAAGAGTGGGGGAGAGTGGCTGCTGACCCTGATCGGGCGAGAGTGGCTGCAGACCATGGGCGGACGAGAGTGGCTGCAGACCCAGAGTGGACGAGGGTGGCTCAAGACATCCCATGGACAAGCATGGCTATTGACCCCTGCAGCGTCTGTCTGGATGACCATGGAAGACTTCTTGAATACGTTGGAAACAATCAGCGAGTGCGCAATTATCCCACAATTGCAATTACCACCCGGAGCTTTTCAATTCATCCAGGAGTTTAAAAGCTTACCAGATTTCTTAATGTTTCCGGCGTTCCTGGCGTTAAGACCCCAGGATCATTCCACCTCTGCATCCCTACAAGATTGTCCAGACATCGAGGTCATCCATGCTATGGCCGCGTTCACGGTTTTCGCAACCGAAGCACGGGAGCGAAGTCAATCATCTTCTGACGCCCTGAAATACGCATGCCAAAACTGGGTCTTCCATCTCTCGCGAGCTGCAAGTCCAACGGATGACACGCTCAATCGTGCATTCAAGGTCTTTTGGGATCGCCATCTCCTCTCCTGGCTTGAAAGGCAGTGGTGTTTGAAGGGCTTGCGGTCTTGCCTCCTTGCGTTATCCGAAGGGCAGAAACTTGCACAGGTGTGTTCCCAATTCGGATTTTTGTTCATTCAGCACCTGACCTGCGCACAAAGGATCTTCTCATTAATGAAGCTACAGGGTCATCGTTATCTCAGTCCGACCGGGTCTGAAACTGTCAATTTTATGCACTAGATGTCATGTTGTCCTGTCATCTCGCATTGATATGTTCTCTTCGCGTTGCTTGTGTATTTACAATATTTGGAATGTTGAATATAGAATGTCGGTGTTTACTACATGTTGAAATCCATCGCAGTACAAAATGACATGAAAAGAAGTCGATCGAACGAACACCCTCCTAGTTTCTATATCGATCTCGTCTAGTTCGCTATGAACCTGCTATCCTCACCATCCTCGCTACAGAACGCCGTAGCAGAGTAGACTGACAAACGATATGATTGAATTGCTCATTAATATGCCGCAAGGAAGTGCAAATGAGCCAAAAGATTTGGGTCCTCGCCTTCAGTTTCATCAGACTCGTAACCAACCTGTGTATGCGCGCTTTTTGAGATGTCGAGGATTTATCCGTGGAAGTATACGCCAGGTTGGTTGCGAGCCCACAATTTTATAACACACAGAGATTTGCAGTCATTCACCCAGCCGAATAGGTTCCAAATCATTGTCTTCATCGCCAAGTTCAGTCCTCGAAATATCTTGAGAATAATGCTGAGTCTGGCGCTGTAATAAATTTACAAGGTGATGAGTAAAGACCCGTAACTTGGCATGCAAAGAACTAGCCAGAAGATTCAGACACTGCAGTCTAGTATTTCAAACACATTGCACGGCTGAAAGCTTCGGCGAGGCTTACCTAGTGGTTAGTGAGGCGCAGGTGCGAAGACGAAGAAGACTCCTCTCCATACAGCAACCCAATTGCTTTCATCGAAGTGACGTAGACTATAAGGTATAGTACCTGAAGACAATTAGATCTTATGTTAATGAACGAAGTTACGCATAGAGGATCACCAATTTTTCTCGACTCTTAACAGGTCTTGCGATTTCCCGTGTAATCCCTTGTGCGCACGTCAAGAAAACAGCAGGTACAACAGAACTTCCTGGATGTAGTACCCCATATTCTGCCGTGACAGAGTTCCGGGAATTCATGACCCAGAGTCGTTCTATATTTCTTGGTCTGATTTCCCAAGCAAGCAGCACCTATTGACTGTCATAAGTGCATCGCTCGTGTTTCTCTGGGACATCGTGAAAAGGAGTCCTTAGTAGCATTGGCTCCAAACACTCAAATCGCCAGTACTATCACACAATGTCGATAAGTACTTTCGCTTTGAAGGTTTTGAAGCACGTGCTGGCCCCTAGGGTTCTGTCGAATTTAGAACTGTTCGGGCTCGAGGAGAATGAAAAAGAACTAAAATTGGGAGGAGTCGTATCAAGCACGTAGTTTGGCGTGGGTTCTAAATTTAACACTACCACTTCGCAGTGGTGGGGAGGAGCACCCACTAGATTGGCTGGCCCGGGTGCAACGCCGGCGCTGTAAGTACAAGCATGCTCATCACACATATGCCGTCAGTCAGCACCGAATAGGCGAAGCTCAAACATGCTATCAATGCTACGGGGTCTCATGACTTGAGCTTTCCCTCGGTTCAGGAAAAACTCCAGTTCATACGGGCTGGGTGAAGATGCAGCGTGTGTGTGGAACCGGAATTCGTCAACCGTGCAGCATAATAGTGACCGGACAATGACCACGGACGGAATATAAGCAGAGTATCATCAAGGATGCTTCACGCATAGCTTTGAAACTAACCCGCATGAGAATGTTGTAGGAAACGCTAGATAGACGTCATTGATAAACTATAAGTCAAAACATATCAAGAAAGAGATAACGAAATAACGATGAAATAAATATCTATGTGCTGCGTCTGTATTAGTGACCATTGCTGCGTAGAGGAGATGGACAGCAAAGGGAAAGTACGGAACGAGGCCACCAGAGCAAGGTGATGATTGCACAGTTGCTGCACTTGGTGTGTGATATTAGTATCGGGAGCAGGGGGTGTCGTGGACGTCGATGCGGCAGCGGCACGCCGGGTTTGCGATGACGATGCCTGGCCTTGCTGTCGCTGCTGCAGTCGGTTCGCCTTCGTATAGTCTTGTTCGGGACGTCGAGCAACAAATAGCGCCTGCACAGAAGTCATTGAACGACGGAAATCGAACATGTACGAGAAGAAAACATACTTATTTATCTTTTACTACAGCTGTAATTTCAACGATAGGAGGACCAAGAAGAGGAAATATGATTCGAGTTGGGCGTTGCCGTATTTCGGTTGGTTCCGGGTCGCTGATGATGGGTTGTAGCGGAAGAGCTAAGAAAGGCAGTCAAGGAGCGCGATTGGAGAAGGTGAGAGAGCACCGCTGCGACGGCGTGCAGATGAACGAACATGGATATTACGCGTCGGTGAGGACTGAGAGAACATCAGTCAGAACAGAAACTGATAAAAAATGCTGATGACGCACATGAACATTGAATATCGTGTCGCGCGCCATCAGAAAAGCTTAGGTGTAGTCGATGGGCAAAGTTCTGGGCTGGACGTCGCGTCACATTACTCTAGATTGTAGCGACCTTATTAATTGACTGAAAAGGTCAAGAAACATGTCACGTACGTCCATTTGTAACGACTTTCCAGCTGCGACCTGTACAAAGGTGATAAGCATTATTTGGAAAGGCACGATATCATAAAGAACGTACACTAGGTCTTCGAAGCCGACTTCTTTGCAAAGGATGGCATGGACATCCTACACGTACAAATTTTCGTCACGACAACCCTTCCCATTCTGCAGAGTCCACAGAATCTTCGTGCTAAATGGGTGGTCCGACCCGAGATTCCATAGACGCACTGTGTTATCCCATGGCGCATTCGCGAGGAGGCGGTCATTCTGAAACTTTAAGGTCATGTTGACCAATTGATGACGTTGTATGATCCCTCGAGAATCTGCTTCAAAGTGAGCCAAATATCCTAATCGGGCCGTACGCCCCGGAAGATAAACTTTCTTGTTTGAAGTTGTTCCCGTCTGATCAGACGTCCACGAAAGTTTCTGCCAATTCCTGTTTGCAAATTTGAGCGTACGTCGACGCGTCTTATGTAAGTGGCATGCTAGATTTTTACTCTGCTCTCTTCAAATCTACACAACGTTGTGATTTTTGATGTATCGGATAAGCAGTACATGTACATACCGTGCACCTGTGCCCGGTCTTGATCGTCTGGACCCAACATTCTCCGCTCTCGACATTCCACACTCTTGCCGTCCCATCATTGGATCCGCTTACCACTTGTGTCGCGTATCCTTCGCAACATATCACATGGTGTGTCGCTTTCTATGACTGCCCGAACTGCACTGATCATTGTTTCTACCAAGTCCTTATTTTCTTCCAAATGGATATCATGGAATATTTCTTCAAGATGATGGGCTGGAAGTATTTCCGTTTTGACGGTGATACGAAGACGGAGGATCCGAACATGCCTTGCATGTACAACAATTTAATATGAAGGATTCGGAGATTAAAGTCTTCATCCTCTCAACACGAGCTGGTGGTTTGGGTCTCAATTTACAGACTGCAGATGCGGTTGTCATGTGCGTTATGTCTTGCGGTCACATCGTTCTCTATGCTAACGCCTAGGCTTACAGCTTCGATAGTGACTGATGAATAAGCTTCTGGCTATTGCTTGGACAGACGTGCTGATGATAATATCTCAGGAATTCCCCACGCTGATCTTCAGGCTCAAGATCGTGCTCACCATATCGGCCAGGCCAAGGCTGTCCGAATCCTCCGTTTCATCACAGAGAAGAGTGTCGAAGAAGCCATGTATGCTCGTGCGCGATACAAGCTCGATATCGACGACAAGGTTATCCAAGCCGATCATCTCGACGACCAGTTTAAACCTTGTTGTCGAAACGACCGGCTTGGATAGGCATCGACTTGAAGTCGATGCAGGAAGAGCAGGAAGAATTCTTGGTGGGTGTTACGGAAGCTTTATCCCAAATAATACAGCTAATGAGTGTTATGCAGCGTCCATCCTCGAAGCAGGCCAAGAGGAAGAGAACGAAGAAGCTGCTGACATGAACTCAACGAGATATCGTCAAGAAATGACTGAGGAGGTTGAGGTTTTCCGCTTGATGGATCTTCAGCGAGAACGGGATGCGTTGGACGCACGGCGTGCGGTCGGCAACAGAGGGAAACCGCCATTGCCCCTCATGCAGCTTGAAGAGCTGCCTGAGTACTATCAGACGGATGAACCGTCCGAGCCAAAGGAGATTGGTGATGCTATCGAGGGTCGTGGTCACCGTCATCGCAGTGTCGTCAATTATAACGACAGTCTCAGTGATGAGCAGTGGACGATGGTGCGTCTTGTAGGATGTCGCGATGCCTGCATGCTGATTGGAATTTTAGGCTGTGGAGGATGGCGAGGATCTGCAGGAACTCGTTGATCGTGCCCGTGGCAAGAAAGAACGACGGGCTACCAACAAGCTTCTCAAGGAAACCGATACACCTGGTCGTAATACTCCAGCGTCAGACGTGGGTGTTGGGCGCAAGGGGAAGAAGGGCAAGGGCAAGATGACTACCAACGACTACGACACACCTGGTGTGGCTGGCAAGCGGAAACGTGGGATGAAGTCGATGACGACGACGAAGAGCGTGACACTGGTGAGCTGGTTTTGAGTGTTCCTTTTGAACGTTTTCTGATGATATCTAGAAACGACGGAAAACGAAGGCGGGTGACATGTCGCCTGCAATAAGGGATAAGATGAAGAAGGCTTTCAACGAGGTTCTCAGAGCGGTTCTTGCTTGTGAAGACAAAGATGGCCGGAAACGCTGCGAACTTTTCCGGGAGCTCCCCGACAGGAGAGTGAGTAGAAGGCTTCCGGTCTCATGTTACACCGACATACTAACGATACGATCAGGATTACTCCGATTATTATCAGTTAATCACGCATCCGATCGCCTTGTCCCTACTTCGAAAGCGGAGTAACACTGGACATTACAAGAGTATCACGCACTACAAAGAGGACTGGAAGCTCACGTATAACCAAGAGGGCTCGTGGGTATACATAGATGCTGAGGAGATGGAAAAAGTGTTCCACGACACGCTGGAGAGAGTCACTGCGGGGACGGGACTACCTGGTGCCTCACCAGCTCTAGGTGGACCGTCAAGCTCTGCAGCATATGACTCGGCGCTTACGCCTATGGACGAGGATGAGCGGCCGCAGCGGGGCAGGCTCGGAGTGCTGGTCGCAAACAGGTGATCGGTGATGATGAATACCTGACGCCGAATGATGATGAGTAGATATTTCTTTATCGCATTCTTGATCTGCGATTTCGTTTTGTTATTTCCTCGTTTTTACGACAGCATCATTTTTTGGAGTATGTGTATTGGTACACAATATCATCACACATCGATCGGCGAGACAACTTGAATGGTACCACGTGCACGAAGTGCGAATTCGAAAGACGAAGCCCGTTCTTAACATTCTCGGAGGATCTAGGTGGATCTAGTCGATGATGATTTGAACCCTTCAATCAACACAGTTGCAATTAGATAAACCAAATGCTAGAATGCATTCACTTCAGCGTCGCGGGGGTTCAAATTATCAAGCAATCAACTTGTAATCGAGAGTTTGTCACTCATGCACATGGATTCCTCGAGCCATGGAGCCGGACACGGTACGTGTACGGTCCGTTCAACTTTGACCGTCACGTTCTCTAAGTCGAATTCTGGCTAGAAGTTCACGGTGCAGTAGCCTCGTGCTCTCCAGCTGGGAGCCAGCCTACAAGCGCCTGCTTGCCCTTTCTACTTGACTACATACACCATCCATCGAGCTTTGAATAGAACTGCAACCAATCGTCCATTCTACTCAAACATCCTTTCTAAACGTTGATATCTCCGTTACTCAATCGTTTCACCACTTACATAAAACATTTTGACTTCAAACAAAGTTACAGCCTAGACATTGACTCCTCAAATAACGTCGTCGTATGTCGCCCCCTCCGAGTTAGCCATCACCATTGCGATTTCTAACCACACCGTTGAACGTAACTAGTGCTTCCCGAGTTGTCTCATTCTAACTCACATTTTTTGTCACATTCTATCATCAACCTTTGCCGATAAGTGACTGGGATCGATGTAAATATCTCCTTCCCTTATCATCACTCTCGCTCTCTAACCTGACTGTCAGTCCCTGGCGAGCTTCTAGCAATGGCCGAAGGAACTTGGGAGAAGCTGTCCCAGGTCGCTGTCCTGGGTGCTAAATATGACTCCCCTGAACGCCAGCCCCATCCGAAATGTTTGGAAGGGACCCGGGTGGATGTTCTCAAACTCATCCGCGGATTATTAGACAAGCGAGAGAAGAGTCAAATCATTTGGCTGCATGGCACGGCAGGCGTCGGAAAGTCTGCTGTGGCATTCACTGTAGCTGAGATGATGAAGGGTCTTAAAGTGACAGAAGAGACGAATGTCGAAACAAGGCTCGCGGGGACATTCTTTTTTTCGCGCAAGCACACGAACCGCAGCACGACCGGTCATTTCTTTGCGACCCTTGCTTACCAGCTTGCGACCAATTTTCCCAGCGTCCAGAAGGACGTGAACAGAGCTATCCGCGAGAATCCTGCGGTTCTAAACCCCAGCAACTCTCTTCGCGACCAGATGAAGGCGTTATTTCACCAACCTCTCTGGCACCTGAAATCCAGGCTGCACGAGTGTCCGCCGGTGTTTGTTATCGATGCCCTCGATGAATGCGAACCTGAGACTGTCGCTGATCTCATCTCCCTTCTCGGCCAAGCTCTTCGTGATCCTGATCTTCCCGTATTCCACATTCTACTCACGAGTCGCTCAGAAGAGCACATCCGTAAAGTCATTCAAAAAGAAGAGATGCGCACACTGGTGTACGAGATACCGGTGAACACTTCTGGGGAGGGCGTTGCTGGCACCATTTCGTTAGATGGAGAAGATGTTGACAATGACATCTATATCTTCTTGCAGCATTCTTTCAAAGAGTTGCGTTGTCGCCATCCTGATTTCCCACAGCCCACTGCGGATAAACTCATGCGGCTGGCGAATCGAGCTGGCAGACGTTTTATCGTGGCATCTACAATGATGAAGTTTGTCGATGACGGATACAATGACCCCCAGGATCGCCTTGAACTCATGCTCGAGCTGACCAATGAACTGCTACCTGGGACGGAAGTGTACAAGTTATACAATTGTATCCTCGACACGTGTTCGAACTCCAGCCGGGCATACCAGCACTTGTCCATTGTTGCTGCCCTTGCAAACCCTCTGCCAATCTCGCAGATTTCGAAACTCCTTGGCCCTGGTCAAGGTAGTGATCTCGCAACCGTACTGGTACAGCTACGGTCTTTCATGGATATTCCCATCGACAGCAGCCAGCCCGTGAATATCTACCACTCATCCATTCGGGACTATGTTTCAGACTTCTCAAACTGCAGCCTCCGTGGATTACAACCGATCACAGCACCACATTCCCTGCTCGCTTATTCCTGTTTCCGCTTGATGATTGAAGACATTCCAGAACGCACTGCTCTCATGGATGCGTTTTCAGAATTGAAGTCGCAGAATCAGGCTATGCAACACCATGACCCCCGGAACTTGCAACAATCGTTAGCTTTCATCGTTGAGGCACCGGAGCCGCTCCAGGTTCTCACCGGCCTGTTATGGCTTCGAGGAGCTCGTGGGTCGGGTTTGCGGTCCTGGTTGGCGACTTTGGACGGACGTGCGTGGCTGCAGACCCAATGTGGGGAAGACTATTTGCGGACACAGAAGGGAGAAGGCTGGTTGGAGACTGAGGGTGGGGGGCATTGGCTGCATACCCACGCGGGGTACACTTGGTTGCAGACCGAGAAGGGGCGCGGGTGGCTACAGAGTAAGCCAGGGTGGTTGTGGAATCAAAGACGGCGACAAGTTGCTGGAGAGCCTGACGAGAAAATGTCATTGGAGACTTGGAACGGGCGAGATTCGCTGGAGACCATTAATGGCCAAGGTTGGCTGGAGACTCCGAGCGGGCGAGAATGGTTGCCAACCCAGGCCGGGGGAGAGTGGCTGCAGACACAGACTGGAAGAGAGTGGCTGCAGAGCCGACGCGGGGAAGAGTGGCTTCAGACGTCGATCGGACAAGTGTGGCTGCAACAGACCCCGAGTGGTCGAGAATGGCTGCAGACACAAAGAGGACGAGAATGGCTACAGACCCAGAGTGGCGAAGAATGGCTGCGGACCCTGAGTGGCCGAGAATGGCTGCATACCCCGAGTGACCGTGAATGGCTGCAGACCTATAGTGAATGGCTGCAGGCCTGTAGTGAATGGCTGCAGACCACGCCTGTGCAAGAGTGGCTGGAGAGGAATGGGCGAGAGTGGCCGGAGGTAAATGGGCAAGAGTGGCTGGACACTAACAACGGGCGAGAGTGGTTGGACACCAAGAGCGGACGAGAGTGGCTGGACACCGAGAGCGCGCAACAATGGCTGGATTACCAATCGTTCGAGGACATGCCGCACACCTGGCTGCGGAATCCAGATGGACAGAAATGGTTGCAGACTCTGGAGCGGTTGCAGACTTGGTGGTGGTGGTTGCGGATTGGGTGGTGGTGGTTGCAGATTCGGTGGTGGTGGTGGTTGCAGCGGATGATTTTTATGCCACAGAGCGGGCCACGGATGATTATCAATACAGATGATACGTCGGCTCTGAGTGGACAAGACCGGCTGCGTTCTCAGAGCGGGTGGGGGTGGCTAGAGGTGCGGGACAGGAGGAAGTGGCTGGAGACCCAGGGCGGGAGGGAGTGGCTGGAAACCCAAGGCGGGCAGAAGTGGCTGGAGACCCAGGGCGGGAGGAAGTGGCTGGAGACCCAGGGCGGGAAGGAGTGGCTGGAGACCCAGGGCGGGGAACAGGGAGTGGCTGGAGACCCAGGGCGGGAGGAAGTGGCTGGAGACCCAAAGCGGGAGGGACTGGCTGGAAATCCAAAGCGGGAGGAAGTGGCTGCAGACCCAGGGTGGGAAGAAGTGGCTGCAGACCCAGGGCGGGAGGAAGTGGTTGGACACACAGGGCGGGAGGAAGTGGCTGGACGCACAGGATGGGAGGGAGTGGCTGGAAATACAGGATGGGAGGGAGTGGCTGGAGACACAGGGCGGGAGGGTATGGCTGGAGACCCAGAGTGAGCGCGCCCACCTGCAGGCCCTAAATGAAGTGCAGACTCCGATCGGGCGTCCATGGCTGCACACCTTTCGCGGGAGAGAGTGGCTGCTGACCCAGAGTGGGCGAGAGTGGTTGATGACCCAGAGCGCGCAAAAGTGGCTCCTGACTCCAGGAGGGCGAGGATGGCTCTATACTCCAAACGGACGAGAGTGGCTGTGGACCCCAGGTGCACTGCAGACTGAACGTGGCCAAGAATGGCTACAGACAAAGAGTGGACAAGAGTGGCTACTGACCCAGAGTGGGCGAGAGTGGCTGCAGGCCATGGGCGGACGAAAGTGGCTGCAGACCCAGAACGGACGAGGATGGCTTAAGACATTCCATGGACAAGCATGGCAGTCGACTCCTGCGGCGTCTGTCTGGGTGACGATGGAAGACTTCTCGAACACGTTGGAAACAATCGACGAGTGCGCAATTATCCCACAATTGCATTCACCGCCAGCTTTTCGAGCAATCCAGGAGTTTAAAAGCTTACCAGATTTCTTGATGTTTCCGGCGTTCCTGGCATTAAGGCCCCAGGATCATTCCACCTCTGCCGCACCCATACAAGATTGTCCAGACATCGAGGTCATCCATACTATGACCGCGTTCACAATTTTTGCAAACGAAACACGGGATCGAAGTCGATTAGCTTCTGACGCTCTGAAATACGCATGCCAAAACTGGGTCTTCCATCTCTCGCGAGTTCCAAGTTCAACGGACGAGAAGCTCAACTGTGCATTCAAGGTCTTTTGGGATCGCCATCTCCTCTCCTGGCTTGAAAGGCAGTGGTGCTTGAAGGGCTTGCAGTTTTGCCTCCTTGCGTTATCCGAAGGGCAGAAACTTGCACAGGTGTGTTCCAAATGATTTTTGTGTATTCAGCATCTGACCTACGCACAAAGGAACGTCTCGTTGAAGCTACAGGGTCATCTCAGTCTCGGGTCTGAAACTGTTGATTTTACGCACTAGATGTCATGCTGTCCTATTATCTTGCATTAATATTTTCCTTTCGTGTCGCTTGTTTATTTACAGAATTTGGAATGTTGAATATAGAATGTCGGTGTTTACTACATGTTGAAATCCCCATTACAGTACAAATTCAAAATGACATGAAAAGAAGTTGACACACCCTCCTGGTTTCTATCTAGATCTCGTCTCGTTCGCTATGAACTTGCTATCCTCGCCACACAACACCGTAGACAGAGCACACTGGCAGAATGATATGATTGAATTGCTCATCAATATGCCGCAAGGAACGTACGAATGAGCCAAAGCTTTGAGTCCTCGCCTTCAGTTTCGTTAGACTCGCAACCAACCTGCATATGCGCGCTTTTTGAGATGTTGAGATTTATCTGTGGTAGCAGCATACACCAAGCTGGTCGCGAGCCCACAGTTTCATAACATACCAGAGATTTGCAGTTATTTAGCCGACACACTGCTGAATAGGTACCAAATCATTGTTTTTATTGCCAAGTTTACTCCTCAAAATATCTTGAAAATAATGCTGAGTCTGGCGCTGTAATTTACAGGGTGATAGGTAAAGACCCGCAACTTGGCATGCAAAGAACTAGTCAGAAGATTCAGAGTCCAGACACTGCAGTCTAGTATTCCAAACACATTGCACGGCTGAAAGTTTTGGTGAGGCTTACCTGGTGGTTATCGAGGTGCAGGTACGAAGACGAGTGCAGCTGGAGGCTTAATGCATACCAAAAGTGAACGATCACAATGGGCGTCAAATTCGTAACACTACCACTTCGCAGTGGTAGGCAGGAGCACCAAATTGACTGGCGCAACGCCAGCGCTGTAAGTATAAGCATGCTCATCAGATAAGTATATGCCATCAGTCAGCACCGAATAGGCGAGGTTCAATCATGCTATCAATACCGGAAGTTGTGTGGCTCGAGTCTTCCCCCGGTCCAGGAGAAATTCCAGTTCACAGGCCTGGGCGAAGGTGCAAGCGTGCGTTTGGAACTGGAATTCGTCAATCGTGCAGCATAATAGTGACCGGACAATGACCACGGACGGAATATAAGCAGAGTACCATCGAGGATGCTTCACGCATAGCTTTGAAACTAACCCGCATGAGAAGGTTGTGGAAAATGCTAGATGGACGTCATTGATAAACTATAAGTCAAAATACATCGAGAAAGAGATGATGAAGAGACGATGAAATAAGCTGCGTCTGTATTAGCGACCATTGCTGTGCGGAGATGTACAGTAGTGGAAAGGCACGAAACGAGCGCACCAGGATATAGGTGATGATTGCATAGTTGCTGCATTTGGTGTGTGGTACTAGTATCGGGAGTAGGGGGTGTCGTTGACGTTGCTGCAGCAACGACAGGCTGGGTTCGCGATGTCGATGCCTGGCCTTGCTGTTGCTGCTGCGTTCGGTTCACCTTCTCGTAGTCTTGTTTGGGACGTCGAGAAACAAATAGTGCCTGCACAGAAATCATTGAACGGAAATCGAAAATGTACGAGAAGAAAACATACCTATTTATCTTTTACTGCAGCAACTTCAATGATAGGAGGACCACGAAGAAAAGATCTATTTCGAGTTGGACGTTGCCGCAGTTCGGTTGGTTCCGAGTGGTTGATGATGGGTTGAAAGTGGCGGAAGAGCGAAGAAAGGCAGCCGAGGAACGCGATTGGAGAAGGTGAGAGAGCACCACTGCGACGGCGTGTGGATGAACGATCATGGATATCGCAGGATATCGCGCGTCAAAGAGGACTGAGAGAATATCAGTCAGAACAGAAACTCGTAAAAAAAACACCGACAACACACATGAACATTGTGTCGCGCGTCATGAAAAAAGCCTGGGTGTAGTCAATGATGGGCAATCATCAATGTTCTGGGCTGAATGTCGCGTCGAATTACTCTAGATGATAATAACTAGATTAACTGATTGAAAAGGTCAAAAAAACACGACACGTACGTACTTTGTAACAGTGTTGTTACTAACCCGTTAAATCAGTTATAACTTAACTTAACTTAACCCGGTTATAACCGGTTAAGAGGTTAGTTAAATGGATCTGTGATTTTGGGAGGGTTAGTAGGGTTAATGTATTAGGAGTTAATTGGGTTAATACTAGGAGTTAATTGGGTTAATTGGGGGTCACCAAACTTTTAATCGTTATCATCAATCTCTCCGATTCTCTCTGTGCCAGCGTCCTGGGACTGTATTACCTCTCCAAGCCGCTCCGATGGGTAGGGAGAAGTCCTGGCTGTGGGATCATTTTCATCAGGGGACTGCGAAGGTTGACAAAGTGCACTGGCAAGCACACTGTAAATATTGTGTCAATGTGAAGGCTAAAGATCTCGCAAATGCTAATCAACAGGCTGTTGCACACGGAATACTGCAGGCTGTCAGAACTTTCACAATTTTGACGCAGGAAGGTGAGTTTTTGTCAATTGATGCCATGTAACATAAATGACTAATGTATACCGTATAACGGACTCAAACAGCATGCGATAATGTCCCTTATATTGCCGGAAAGGTCGAAATCATGGTAAAAGGAATACATATCGGGGTTAGGACAAGTAGTCGAGGTTGAGGATGACATCTCAGGCATTTCGGATTCGGAAAGTAGCAGGCAGCGACAAATTCGTTGCTTCTTCAGTCAGAAGAGAATGTTTTGCATCCGCGACATGTTCAATTGGTCTGTTGAGGTTGGATGGGACGAGTTTTGGTTCCAGGGTGTGAAAAACATGGAGAGTGAGGCTTTATTCTACGAACTAATGTCACGCCTGCCCGAGGATGAAAAAGTACTAGTAGGAATGTCCCAGGGGAGTCATCAGGCATGGGAAATAGTCCATCAAGTTCAATCGTTATTGACGACTCAGAGTAGCTAGCACTTTGGAGTAATTAACTGTTTTTAACCCCATTAACCCCAGTTATTTCGCGGTTAATTCAAATCAAGACGCACCAGTTATAACCTATTCAGTTATAACCCGGGTTAATAACAACACTGCTTTGTAACGACTTTCCAGCTGCGACCTGTCAAGAGGATATGATATTAGCGTTATTTGAAAAGGTATTATATTTATACCCACATATATAAGGAATGGACAGTACTATCACTCCTGGGGTTCTGCAACATTTTCAATAAATCTTTTGTAACTCCTCCACCACATCACATTTTCTTCTACGGGTTTGCACCACTATAGAATCATAGCTGCTCTATACGAATATGATTTTGAGGATTTTAAGGATTTTGTGCTGGGGTGTCGGACGATGGCCGAGAAAATTCAGGGTCTGACTGGTATTCTGCAAAACATGGTCACGTCGTGTCACACATCGGCACAGCGGCAACACCATCAACTTTCGCTCTCCGAAGACTGTCAAAGTTGTGTAATGTGCATTGAATCTCGACGTTGTGCAAAGCTTTGAAAACGGATACTATTGTGGATTGTGGTTCATATAGTAATTATTGGGATTATAATGGTACTGTCGATAGAGTCCTGACTTGTACAGCTGATGGCCTGCATTACCAGAGCCCCCAATGTCATACATCTGCATTCCACCACCAACTTGAAAATCCTGAGATGTACTGGCGAGAAGTCTACCAGCCGGTGTGAAGTGAGGGTGAAGAACAGGTGGAGACCGAGGTACAGAATGGTGCATTGGATGATATGGAGGTGCATGGCTGGGTGGAGGCACACTCAGATCCATGCCTAGCATTGAGGAATGAGTGACAGGCTGCGGTGGATACCTGGATGGTTGGTGAATCGAATTTGGGGGAATCATATCTTCTGGGAATTCAGGAGCAACATTGTTGTTTTCGAGATGGTGCCTGCGAGACTGAGTGAGATTAAATAAACCTTCATAGCGTTGATTTTTCTTGAGTTCCGGGTGGTCGTTAAAGTGCTGTAAAATTCGCTGTAACAATTCAGCTTTGAGTCCAGTTTCCGGCAATCGCAAGGCTGCGGAATTTGGCCTCATGAGCTGCATCTTCTTCAGCTTTCTTCTGAAGCTACACCGGCGGTTTGGAGGCATTGTAAGGATGCGAGAATGAGATGACACGACATGATGTGACTGGATGCTATATATTGATCAAGCCGAGTTTGCTGTAGAGGAGATTGAATTTCTTACACACTCTCCTATCTGCTGTCACGCTTTCATGCATGTCGTCAATCATCTGTCTATAGCATCTTAAAACAAGAGAATGATCTCTATCGAAATTGTGTTCTGGTACCCTGACAAGGTGTTTGATGTGCTCCAGGTGTAACTTTTGAATATCTCTCTAAGATCTATGGGATCTGGATCATTTATGATTATACGAGGTTGCAAATCACCACTATTCTGTCTCTCGCAACTGCAACACTCGAGAAATTTTTGTTCTGCTTGGACAGTACATCATCTATAAGTATCCTACATGCACCTGAATTTTTCGAGGTGATTCAAGCAGCGCATTGAGGTGTTTTGAACATTTTGCATATTACATGCCAGTTGCAGATTCCCAGGAGTGATAGTAGGTCTTCAAAGCTGGTTTCTTTGAGGATGACACAGACATCCCACACGTAAATTTTTTTGTCACAACAACCCAAGTTACAAGCACTTTCTTATGAATGGAAAGGGCTGTGGAGTACACCGACTCTTCGTGCTAGATGGGTGTCCGACTTGGAGGTGAGATTCCTTAGATGTATTGTGTTATCCCATGATGCATTCACGAGGAGGCGGTCATTCTGAAACAAGGTCATGTTGCATTAGTATGATGTCCCTTGAGAATATAATATCCTAATTGGGCTATACGACCTGGAGATAAGCTTGTTTGAAGTTGTTTTCGACTACCAATCTGTGTTTGAGTGTAATCATCATCTTCACATCCTAGATTTTTACTCTACTTTCCAACTACTTTCTTCAAATTCGCATGTTGTGATTTTTGATGTATCGAGTGAGTAGTTCACCCACCTGTGCCCGGTCTTGATTGGACCCATTGAATACTGTTTCTCTGCTCTCGACGTTCCACACTCTTGCCATCCCATCGTGTCATGTATCCTTCCCAAGTTCTTCACAATAGGTCACAAGGTGTATCACTTTCTATGATTGGCCCAAGCTGTACTTGTTACGAACTAGGATGGTTCTGACGTATGGCTACTCGATAAGAGTAATCGGCCAAGGTCGGTTCAAGACTTCGGCATATACTGAAGTTTCAGTGTTTCTGAGACAAGACAAGGAGAGTGTCCTCGACTTGAATCAAGTTCAATACAACTTAAGATTGGAGGTCTTAAGCGAAGGAAGTTCCAGGTAAAACCTAGTAAGATTAAAGTAAAGAACTACATAGTACAGAACGGGTTTATATAGTGAATGGTAACGACTTTAGGGCCAGTACGATGAGGTCATAGAGATGAGTCAGAGATAAGACGAGTCAGAGATAAGATGAGTCAAGATAACAAGAATAGATCATCTAGCGATGGCAAGATGCGATCGTGATGTAATACAATGATGTAAGAGAAAGAAAATGAATAGGGGCGTACTTGACTGTAACATTACCCCGTTGTTATCGTTGAAGTCACCGATTTCAACAATCAAAGTTATCGCAAGCGTCATAGTTATCATGATCACCTGCGCATTGAACGAACATTCTCTCATCTTCTTCGATTGAGATCTGTTCCATAGCAGCGTCTTTGTCAGCCTCCTATCTAGAGAGGGCCTCATAGAAGCCTGCATCCGTCCATACTAATGGGATAGGTTTCTCTCCTTTAAGGTCTCTACAAAAGACCGAAAGATGCCCTGGCGCGAGATTACGACATACGCGGCAGAAGTACGTAGGGCAGTTCTTGTGACGATGACTGATTTCATTACAGTTGTGACATTTAAAGTTATCAAGGGGTTCGGTTTTCACGATGGTGACAGAGGATGATTGCGGAGGCGGGGATGGAGTCTTGGAAGGTAGAGTGCGGTTGTGAGAAGGAGGGGAGACGGGAATCTTTCGCTTGGAGGGTCGTCGACGGGTAGGGCGTATATGAGGGGTTGCCGCCGGGGCAGTCGTAGAAGCAATTGGTATGATCGGTACAGCAGGAGGAACGATAACATTAGGCGTATGCTCAACGGGAGATGATATCTCGACCGGAGGTGGGATAGGAATTGCGATATGTGGGGACGGGGGTCTAGCGATTGGGTTCGTTGCAATTCGTTCAGTGACGATATGGATTGCTTCTCTAACGACTTCTTTGGTAGAGGTAGGCATGAGACGTATCGCAGAATTGTGAATGCGTATATGGAGATGACGGAAGATGGTCTGAAGGCGTTCATCATCAAGAAGCCCTGCAGTACGTTTGACGAGATTAGCAGCGCGAATGATATTGATGAGGAGTGTGCTAGAGAGGGCTCCTTGTTCAGCGAGGAGACGATCTATTTCGATAGCGTATTGTTCAGAGAGGAGGGCGGACTCGAACAATGTATTGGTTTCAATGTTGTCGAGAATGGAGAAGTAGTTTGGGGATTCAGTGGCTTCGGTCAACGTGATGGACGTCGTGGAGGGGGAAGTACAGTGGCTCAAAAAACTGTCCGCATGTTTTGACATTTTTCACTATCTATAATATTGTGTGAGAATGAACAAATTCCTCAAGGACATACTTATACCACATTGTAGTATGGCTTCAGGGGCTTTTATTTGAGCCCTACACCGTGGGAATCGGCGGAGATATGGTGGAGATATAAGGCTTATAAAATGATGACTCATGTGGACAGTTTTTTGAGTGTATATTAAAACTATATAAATCATTATTTATGACACCATAAAAATCATGCCACTATTATATAAATTATAAAGTGGTGTCATTATGTTATTTTATGACTATATCTAACTATATAAACCAGAATATCTCATGTATCATAGTCATAATCACCATGAAAGCCATCTCCTCTGCTCAAAGAGATAATATCCTCTCTCTGTCTTATGCTGGCCTCTCTGCTCGCCAAATTTCCTCTAGAACTGGAATATGCAAGTCCACTGTGGCCAAGTTCATCAAAGAAAGCCACCCAGACAAGGAAAACTCTTGTGGAGGACGTCCATCCAAGCTTACCTCTACTGACAAAAGGGCTATTATCCAACATATCACTACAGGAAAGGCTGATAATGCTGTCCAAGCCACCCATTATATCAATTCCACCATCACTACCCCTGTCTCTTCACAAACTGTGAGGAATGTTCTCAAGGCAGCTCATCTCAAGGCAGTAACAAAGAAGAAAAAAGCCTCTTCTCTCCATCAAACATAGGCAGAGAAGACTAGCCTTTGCCTTAGCTCATCAACACTGGACTGTAGAGGACTGGAAGCATGTTATATGGTCAGATGAGACCAAAATCAATAGGATTGGGTCAGATGGGAAGGTGTATGTATGGAAAAAGAAGGGAGATGGCCTAACAGACAGAGAGGTTAATGGGACTGTCAAGTTTGGAGGAGGTTCTTTAATGGTATGGGGCTGTATGGGATGGAATGGTGTGGGAATGCTTGCTGAGGTTGAGGGGAAGATGAATGCTGAGCAGTATGTGGACATTTTAAATGACCACTTGCTGCCTAGCTTGGCAGAATCAGGGATTGATGAAGAAGATATCATTTTCCAACAGGATAATGATCCCAAGCACACATCCAGAAGAGCTAGGGAATGGTTTGAAGAACATAACATCAATGTTCTTGACTGGCCAGCACAGTCTCCTGATGTCAATGTCATTGAACATCTCTGGGGAACACTCAAGAAAAAGCTTCAAGCCTATGAAAACCCCCCTAAAGGAGTATGGGAGCTTTGGGAGAGAGTAGCAGTGGAATGGGGGAAGATCACAGCTGAGGATTGCCAGAAATTAATTGAGAGTATGCCTAGAAGGATAGAGGCAGTAATTAAAGCCAAGGGAGGTCATACAAAATACTAGAATACCTGGTTATTACTGTAAAATACTTGAGTCAAAAAACTGTCCGCATGAGTCACCATTTTGTGAGCCTTGTATCTCCACCATATCTCCACCGATTCCCACGGTGTAGGGCTCAAATGAAAGCCCTGAAGCCATACTACAATGTGGTATAAGCATGTTTTTGAGGCATTTGTTTGTTCTCACACAATATTATAGATAGTGAAAAATGCCAAAACATACGGACGGTTTTTTGAGCCACTGTATGCTGATACGTTGTTAGTATGAGGAACTGACTCGAACACCTTTACGAGGTGCTGACTCCGCCCTTGTTCATTCAAGGTTCCTTTGCAGACCTTGATTTGACCCTCATTCCGCATGGTTTAGCGGGCTTGAGGGTAGTGAAGAACTGGATTCGTGAATCTTTCTACCATATGAACCCATCCAAGAGCCCTCAATTCCTGACGACCTTCATGAGCATCACCAGTTTGAGTTTCGCTTTCGACCGGAATGATGCTCCTGCTTACATTGTTGAGGCACCGTGTCTCACCCAAAATATATCCATCAAGCTCCTCTGCAAGCCAGATAATTGCTATGTGGCGAGGGACATGCTCAATTCTTATCGAGGAGTTGCTCCAAGTAGTATATCATCGGGGAGTTCTGTTTCTACTGTGAGTTTATGCCCTGTGTTCACGTGCATGTGCTGAAAATTATGCAGGCATGTCCTCAACAACCGTTTACTTCATCAGGGAAAAGCTCCTTCACAAAAACAAGGTAATTTCAGAATTTTTTGAGAATCCCACGTAATTTCAGTGAAATCGAGTACGACCTGATTTCTCAAGCTCAGTCGCAGTTACTTTGAATTACTTTGAATTTCTTTCAAATTTTCCCCGAATACCATCAAATTATCTTGGATTCAGTCAAAGTCGACATACATGAACATCGATTAAATCATAATTAAACGAAACATCACCATCAACAGACATGAAAAGAAAAGAAAAGATCAGTGAACTCAAACTAAGCATGGGTATCAGTATGTACAAATGATGCATCAGATGTAGAGAAGTAACTGACTCAGTGCCATATTCATAGCTTGATTTATTCTTCGACCATTGCGTCGAGATCAAGATAGTCGCAAGTGCTTGATGAGCCAGTGGACGCTGAGTTGTCGATTGCACTAGTGTTGAGTTAGTCAGAGTGGCCAACAATGAAAAATAGCGCAAGCAAGATACACCTAACTGCCTTGTAAAGTTGTGCCATCAGTGCATGGTACTTCTTTCTACTACCATCAAAGATGAGCATGAGAGTCACTTGGTGAGCCTTGTAAATGCCAACGTGGGAGGAGGTATTGAATGATTTGACTTGTGCATTTGAAGGCGGGTTGCTGCTACTCCAATCCTTCAATATCGCATAAATCTGTGGAGAATGTTATGTAGTCAGTATAGTATACAGAGTTTGAAACAGTATCACGGCCAGTGCCTACCATAGTTGCAATCAAACACACCATAGCCACAGGTAGCTCGGGCTCGTCATTTTCATCTAAGACAGAAACAAAATCATCATGGCACTGAGCGCCAAACGAGTCCTCACCATCAAAGAATGTCAATCGGATGGTGTCAATGGTAGCCTCATCACAAAATGGTTGGTCCCCAAGGACCTTACCCTGGGTAGTAGATGAGAATCAGACAAATGAAGAGAGAGATAACCAAATACTAAACAGACCTTGGCATCGGTTGGAAAAATATACTTGTGACTCTTAAGAAGGTCTTCTACCTTGTCAGCGCAGCCTTTCTGCAGTCCAAAACACAATACAACAATTTGATGTGCGAGCTTCTTGAGATTGGTGCGGAAGGAGCTCATTCATCTCTCCGGCTCGTAAGTGTATTAGTTTCATCCAAATAACCATGCAAAAAGAGTACATACGATTCCGGCAAGAGCCAGTGCATAATCAAAGTCGTGCTTCATCCTCTTCGATATCGCATATTCCTTGTGCTTCCCAGCAGCGATATGGACCGCTTCCAAGGCCATCTTTCACTTCTGAGTGATGTTGGGGAATGCATTGTCGAAGAGAGAGGCTTTCTTGAGTTCAAACATGGCGGTCTTCAACACATTCTGTATCCGGGTGTTTTGAGCCTTGAGGTTAATAGAGCCATCTGCTGAGTAGACTAGATCTGTGAATACGGGCCAAGTAAAGGAATAATCAGACTCTTTATCGTCCAACTCAGGAGCTGACTCGTGAGTAACATCTGCTGGCAGTGCCTCAGTTTTCAGATCCGCAAATTTAGGTCTCTACAAAGTGTGATGTGAGACGGAATGATGGGAGTTTGTAGTAGAACATGTCACCTCGAGTTCCTGTCGTCCTTCTAGCTTACTCCTTTTCTTCTTGTCTTTCTTCTTGTCCGGCTGGTGTTTGGTGACTGTTGATGAAGCTTCACGGTAATAACACTTGGAATGACCATCAGAGGCTTTGTCAGCAACTTGAAACGGCATCTCCGAGTCCAAGTCAGCAACATCAACCTGAGAAACACCGGTGGTAGTGCCAGAGGCCATTGACGACCATTCAGATACATTGCTGCTGGATTGCAAATGCATACTGGCAGCTCTAGCTGTGTGAGGAGGCAGCGAATGAGTACTGGCAGCTCGAGCCGTGTGCACAAAATGGGGAATCTTGGTCAAAAGGTCAATTTCATGTTCTTGTTGTTCTTAATGGGGTTGAGAACCTCTTTGACGAGTTCCTCCTGGGAGAGCGACTCAAAATCATCTTCTTCAGGAAACTCCATATCGTTGTCCATATCGTCCTCTGATTTTTCAGAGGCATGGTCGCTGTCTCCGTATTCACTAATGGTGTCATTATCTTGAATTGACACTGTGGCTGACTTCGACTTGCAGGAATTTAAAGAGCGGCTGATCTCTCATGACCTTGACTTTCAGCACAACTGATATCTTCATGTGCTTCTTGACCATGGTCTGCTGTTGAGTATCTCAGGGCTTCATATGTCTCAAGTAGCAGTCTGTAACTAACCATTGTTGTGATCTAGCTTTTCTGCAGGTGTCTTCCGTGCTAACTTGGCTGCAGGTACTGATTGCAGTCCAGTTACTGTGGGTGCGCACTTACGACTGTTGGCCATTGTCTCATTCCAAACTGAAATCAGGTACGTGTTAGTACCCACTTTCTAACTGTGCAAGTGCTGACCTTTCCGCTCTAAGGCCTTTATCTTTGATGACTGTTGCAACGGTTCTTGATGATTGTGAGTCCCTCACAATTTTCTTTTATGTACTACTTACTATCTGTTTTTTCACCAGCAGATTCTTGACTCGCCTTGGCCTTTGTTTTTTTGTTCCACTTGTGGGTGGCTATCTCTGACGGTGTTAAAGACGCTCTGGGAGGCATACTGACGAGGGGGCAAACTATTTGCCTCAACCAAAGTTGGGAGGGAGGAAGGACTGACAAAACTGCCAGCAAGGTTCATAGTCCGCTGTTGTTTGAAGTTTGGGAGTTTGTTTGTTGTTGACTTATGGTGCTGTTATCACGTCAATTTTTGCAAACTAAACCTTTTCTGATTCACCGACAGGGCGCATTTGGTACTTTCACTCTTGCACTTTGTGAGGGTGCGTCAGGGGTATTACTTTTGCTCTTGCACTTTGTGAGGGCGCGTCTGGCGTCTGGTATTGAGGGCACATCTGGTAGTATTGCTTTCGCTCTTGCACTTTGTGAGGGTGCATCTAAAATCTGCAAGGTTCATAGTCCGCTGGCGCCGCTGTCGTCTGGTTGCTGTGCTGTATGTTATCATGTCAATTTTTGCAACTAAACCTTTTCTGACTTGGATCTATCAACAACCCACGCACGCTGTTTGGATACCTTTGTCTCTTTATCCAATCTAACTAGCTTCCCCATTTCATCGTGTATGCACTTCATTGTACCAAGCTTCACTCCTCCACTCCTCCATAATCTTGCTGCCCTTCATCATACCAAGCTTCACTCCTCCATAACCTTCGCTGCCCTCGTATTGCTCGCTTCCCCATTTCATCGTGTATGCACTTCATCGTACCAAGCTTCACTCCTTCATAACCTTCCTATTGTCAGGGTCAGAATGAACACTTGCCCAGGTTGTGCTAAAAACTTCGAGCATACTGGATACGCTCATCACCTAGCCCAGACCATAAATCCATCATACGCCACTCAATTACAACTTTCTGGTCTTTTTGCTGAGTCGGAGGATGGAGATTCTGACAGTCTTGATGGTGGAGATGACAATTTCGATTCTCATCATCTAACAGAATTTACAGGAGACTACTTTGGCTACTACGACGAACAAGATCTGGAATGGCCAGATGATAACCATGATGAGCCCCCCTTGGAATCTGATGAGGAGGAAGAGGATCATGATGCAGCGCTTGAGCATGGGTGAGAATGCCCTGCAGATCCTGTACAGCAGGATATTGATAGTGGGGATGATTTGGAAAACTCGAACGACTCACAACCACACCCAGCCGAACGACAAGAAGCAGAGGTGCCCCTTGGTCACCAGCCCATTATTGAGAAATTTCCGTGGCGCCATGCAGGTGCTCCAGTCCACCACTCCCACTGTGAAAGAGTAATAGCGACTAGGCTGGTTAGAAACTAGCGCTACTTATCCAAATAGGCGCGAGTGTAATATTCGACCCAAGAGGACTGCTATTGAAGCAACTCCCTTCAAATATGCAAGGGTAGTGATGATGCGAAGGGCTGATAACCTATAGCGACCTAGGACCAAAAACCAATGAGTAGCGCTGTAGCGATCAGCGACTAGCGACAAGTGAGTTCCGACAGAGAAATGTGCGTATAAGGAAGTAGCGCTATGCAAGTTGTCCTATGCGACGTCCGACTAGCGACAGCGAGAAGAAATCAAAAGAAGGGAAAGCGAGGGATAAGGTATGATAGTGCAAGTGGAATGCCTGATAGCGACTAGATTATAGCTCGACTACCGACAGCGATCCCGATGTTGCGAAGATCAAACTTATGAAGGAACTTTAGCGACGCGCACTCGAAGCAAGTCAAGCGACACGTGATCAGAGAGATTGGCAAGAGCGGAATCAATTGCACTAAAAACTAGGATATAGTGACAAAAGTGACTCTGATACCAGCAAAGGTCCGGGGAAGGGAAGTACTGTGCTGTATGTAGGATGGGTCATTTTATCATACTGCATAGGGGTTTGGGATGCATAGGCGAGTATAGTAGCGACAGGTAATAGAACATGCGGCGCTGCGGAACATGAGGACACATGTAATAAAACCTGCAACTGATGAGTAGCGACATTTAAGGAAATATAACGCACCAGCGGAGGTAGGTGGACATAGGCAGGACATGGAAGGGCGGAACACCTAGGCGTCGGGCCGGACAGCGCGCTATGGGAGAAAAGCGGTTCCAAAGTGGATAGCTTGGGAGCTGAATAGCGCTGGTGACTAGCGCTTTACTTGTTTCTTCTAGGCAAGTCAAATATGCCTATGACATTCATACGCGCCTAGCGCCGGTATGATTGTCACACCGCACTACAGCTTTCGAGTCGTATAAGAATGCACTGCAAGGTGCAGAAAACGTTTTGGGCCCCCTTCACATCTCACATAGATTATGAGGTCGCAAAGTGGGCAAAACTTTGCGGTTCTGGCTCGACTGCTTTTTCTGAGCTGCTCACAATCGATGGTGTGAGCTTTCTCAATTGGGTCATGACGCACCGACATTTACAACAACATTTATATAGCTTCGTGATGCCTTGGGTCTTTCATACCAGAACAGCCGAGAACTTAATCAAATCATCAACTGACAGTTACCATGCAGACGACCGTGCTTCAAACACAAAGAAATCATTGTTGCAGATGAGGCATTTGATGTTTACTCGTGCGATGTCATGGAGTGTGTCAAAGCTCTTTATTCAGATCCCAAATTCTCCCAACATCTCAACTATGCTCCTGAACGCCATTATGCCAATGCTGACAAGACTATCCAACTGTATCATGATATCCATACAGGCAAGTGGTGGTGGTCTACCCAGGCAAGTCATTAGACAATCTGTTCAAGTCAATATTGAACTTATCGCAACCTCATTTAGAAAGAACTCGAAACAAAGAAACCTGGAGCAACAGTCATACCCATCATCCTTTCGTCTGACAAGATGCAGGTCACCATGTTTAGAAACAAATCTGCCTATCCTGTCTACATGACAATAGGCAATATTCCGAAGGAGATCCGTCGAAAGCCATCTCAACGGGCATGGATCCTGCTTGCCTATCTACCAACTTCGAAACTCGATCATATCACAAACAAGGCGGCTAGGCGTCAAACGGCAACTAATTTGTTTCATGCTTGTTTGTGTCACATTCTGGAGCCTCTGAAAGTTCCCTGGCGAGGACGGTGTTGCTATGGCCAGTGGGGATGGTGTTGTGCATTGAGGGCATCTGATTGTCGCTTGTTATTCCACGGATTACCCAGAACAGCTGTTGACAACTGGGATAAAGTCAGGAGAGTGTCTGAAGTGTGATATCCCACACACGGAGTTGGGAAGTCCGCATTTTCCTGTAAACCTGTGAGACCTCAATGCAATTCTTGCTGCGTTGTCCCTCATCGACGAGGATTATGACCTGTGGAGACGAGCATGCCAGGACTGTGGCATTAAGCCCATCTTCAAACTGTTTTGGCTGGAT